GGGGGGGGCAAAATTTATTATGGTTTATAATGACAAATGATACTTTGAATATTACATGTTAATAACTTGATTGGAATTATAACCTTGAATTGACAGTTTGATACTTTGAAAATTTTGAGCCAGCCCTACCCCCAAGGGCTGTAGGTGCTAGTTTCAAATCCTTTTTAGTCTGAAATCTGTATGCTAGATATTGAGTAAGGTGGTTTTATTGTTTTTTTGTCACTTTGAGTAATATTTCTGTTCATGTTAAAAACAAAATCAACTCTCTGTATAAATATATCAGGTGACCGTTAAGGCCCATGGGCCTCTTGTTAAATATTCTATCAAAAGTAAAATGTAACCTTTCAGAATTATATAACCAAAGATGTCTCAAAGTAGGAACCATCAGCCATTTTTACAAAACAAGAAGTATTTTAACATTGTATGAATTCTGTGGATTGATTCAGTATGACTTTGATGATAGACATAACAATGATGGTATATCTTAACTCATTCACCCCTGAAGACACATTTGAACTCTTCCAATTCAAAGGTTGGAATAGTTCATCATGGAATTTCAGGGGTGGATGGGTTAATCTTAGTCAGTCCTACGTTTGTATGGTCATGTTTCTGTATAGAAGCAAACCTTTATGGTATTTTAAGGCCCTGTCTCACAGCACAGTGTCCTTCTGTCTGTCTGGCCATCCACACTTCCGCTTCCAAAGATTTTTTCTGAAATCTGAAGACTGAAATTTCACATTGTGGTCACTGTCATATATAAAGGTGAATAGGGGTCAAATAAGTTCCTAAGGTCAAGGTCAAATAGACCAGGGAGGATTTTTCTGTCAAAAATGTGTTGTAATACCCCTTCTGATCTTGCAGTATTTATATTTGTGGTAAATAGTGTTTGGTAGACATCCTGCATGAATAACACTATCAAAGATGGCCACCAGTCATAGTCACTACTACCGAATATGGAACGGGAATTATACTTCTGTCAAAACTAAGTTGTTTGGCCCTTTCTGACATGTAAGTGTTTATTTGATGGCAAGTGGTACATGATGGCTATCCTATTAAAACATTATAACACCTGGATTCAAAATCTAAGATGACCATTCTATTTCTATTGTTTTCTTCAAACTTCTTGGTAAATGGTACTTAGTGCATAGTTAACATGGGAAATAAAGACATATTTTTCTGACTGATCCCATTAGATTTGAACGTGGTCAATATCCCTGCATCCCGTTGGTAAAGACCTTTTGGGCTACAATTTCTCTTCTGTTTATCTGATTATCTGATTTAATTCATTTTTTGCTGTAAACAATATTTCCCTGAAAACATACATACGTAATGCTGTTATTACACATTCTGAAATCCAAGATTCCTTACATATAGGCCTGTGCTTAGAAATTATGGAGGATATATATGGACAATGTCTACCTGCATTTTTTCATGTTGTATAATGACATGTAATCTGAGATTGGTCATAAAGCAGTAGATTGTGGAGACTATGTAATGGAATCCACAAAATACGACTGAAAATATCCATCCTGTTTACCAAGGCGATGTCTATGGATAGAAAGTATTTTTAGTTATGTTTTTGTGAAAACTCTGATGGTTCCTAACTTTTGTCATCACTCTCAGTAAATGATTCAAGAATCTTTCTAGAATTCTTTTTAGAGCTTATAAATGTTCAAAAGGCTGATAATGCTATAACTAGTGGTTTGACATAACAGAATTAGAAATCTTTAAGGTGACCAAGGTCTGTTTCTTTTTGACCAGCCGGACGTTCAAAAGTCTCAACCACCGCCACCTGCAAGACCAAAAGGCCAGGTAATCCTTGTTTTTATGGAAATTAACAGACAATGTATGTATCACAAATATTACCAAGTGGTACCAGATGGAAATTTAGTAACATCAGTATCATGTACCAATACAGAGTCAATGTATCATGTACCAATACAGAGTCAATGGTGAAGTGGGTGAGGGGTCAATGGTGAAGTGTGTGAGGGGTCAATGGTGAAGTGTGTGAGGGGTAAATGGTGAAGTGTGTGAGTGGTCAATGATGAAGTGTGTGAGGAGTCAATGGTAAAGTGTGTGAGGGGTCAATGGTGAAGTGTGTAAGGGGTCAATGATGAAGTGTGTGATGGGTCAATGGTGAAGTGGGTGAGGGGTCAATGGTGAAGTGGGTGAGGGGTCAATGGTGAAGTGTGTAAGGGGTCAATGATGAAGTGTGTGATGGGTCAATGGTGAAGTGGGTGAGGGGTCAATGGTGAAGTGTGTGAGGGGTCAATGATGAAGTGTGTGATGGGTCAATGGTCAAGTGGGTGAGGGGTCAATGGTGAAGTGTGTGAGGGGTCAATGATGAAGTGTGTGATGGGTCAATGGTTAAGTGGGTGAGGGGTCAATGGTGAAGTGGGTGAGGGGTCAATGGTGAAGTGTGTGAGGGGTCAATGATGAAGTGTGTGATGGGTCAATGGTGAAGTGGGTGAGGGGTCAATGGTGAAGTGTGTAAGGGGTCAATGGTGAAGTGTGTGAGGGATCAATGGTACAGTGTGTAAGGGGTCAATGGTGAAGTGGGTGAGGGTCAATGGTGAAGTGGGTGAGGGGCCACATACTATAATTTATGTATCACCTTGGCATGTGTATGTCCGGTCCTGTAAAAGTGGTTCTTCAAACAAACCAGACATTAGGAACAGAAACAAACATTTTTGGTTTGTTTTAAACAAGTCATGGAAATGTTTATGCAAAAGAATGGTATAAAAACCCTATTATGCGAGTGGAAATTGATAAACTTGACTATATTTTTTGCTTGTAAAGAAAACTTTTTTTCAGAATGATGATGCACAATTTTTGTACACCATGTTCAAAAATGTATAAACCTTTTGAAGTGTCTCATTTAGGATCTTCAGCATACAGAATGTTTTTGTCTTATTTCACAGTAAATAACTATACCGTGGTCATGTTTGATTAAGCATTGTCCTTTGTTGTAAAACAAGGGAGCTGTTTATTTCAGTGTTTTGATGATATGATCTCGGCTCAGTTTGTAAAGGGGCCGCGGTGGCCTAGTGGTTAAGATGTGTGACATTCTGCTACCACTAGCCTTCCACCACTGGGTCGTGGGTTCGAGACCTACGTGGGACAGTCGCCAGGTACTGGCCGTAGGTCGTTTTAGGTCCTTAAGTAACTATAGCTGTTAATAGGACGTAAAACACAAACAAACCGAACTCAGTTTGTAATCGTTTTGCAGAATTACAATTAGGCTTTGTCATAGTCCGTAACTGTGTAATAATATAAGTGTTACCAGGTAATGTATTGTTTTACTGTTTTTCTTCATGTTGGCATCAAAAGAAAACTTCAAGTCATGAGTTTTTAGTGGGGTTTTTTCTCATAAAAAAAAAAAAAAAAAAAAAAAATTTTTTTTTTTTNTTTGCTTTATATTAGATTACACACTGCTTAGGCTAGTGGCCAAACTACAAAAGTTTTTGTTGTCTCTCTTTAAAAGCAAAGGTCTGAATATCAATTCACCTAAATTTACTGAACTTTAAATTTTTGCTGCCATGTAGAATTGTGCACAAAACTAATTTATCATAGCTTCATTGTACATATTCAATATTCATCCTCACTTTCAGAGAAAGTATGGGGTGGGGGGTATTTATTTTGGTACATCTGTCTGTCGATCGGTTTGTCTGTTGCATTTAGTTACCATGTAATAATTCTGATGAAATTGGTTTGTTTTCAACCAATATGGATGTGTGCGTACATATTGGCTTGCATCAGGTTAAGTTGGATATCTACTTTTGATGGGTTCATTTTAATGGTTTCCATGCCAAAACCCTTCTGGAAAAAGTGTATTGTGCTCATACAAACAGGTATTGGCAAGTGTCAGGTGTTAGATTGCAAGCTTGGTGCTGTATATTTATGCATAACTAATGAGGCTATAGCCACTTCTGATTGGTTAATTCTTTTCTTCAATAATTCCCCTAAAAAGAACTTGTGATTTTTGACAAAACTTTAATGAGCATACCAGCATGCTTATAAAGCTGAATTTTCCAGCAAACAGTTTTTCTTCTATCTGCTTACTGACATATATCTACCACTCATTAGGTTCTCTGTCCTGTTAAACAGCCTGTCTATACCAAACCACAATAATGAACAACAAATATAACATGTCCTGTGAGAAGTTTCTTGTTTACTTTACTTTCTTCCTCTAGCCAGACAACATTAATAACCTGATGTTATATATGGCACCACTGATTCCACACACTTAGAAATAATCCATTTTAAAAATTATGGAAATTCATAGCTGCAATATATATTTTAACTTCTTGTATTCTCTGTGACCCCTTTCTGAAATTTAGGAACTTAATTATCATGCTGAAAATATTGATTAAAACTCATTCACCCCTGGAGACACATTTGAACTCTTCCAATTCAAAAGGTTGGAATAGTTTATTGTGATATTTCAGGGGTGAATGAGTTAAAAGGACAGGTAATCACACATCTTAGTAAGGGTTTTATTTGGGCCTTAGTCATACATTACAGCAAGCTATAGAGGCTGTGTGATCAGTATTGATCAGTAACAGGTCAATTGAGAAAGGCGTGTCTTCAATGTTCACATTCTCAATTACCAATATATGTTGAATCGAGTTGCTGATAAGGTCAACATTCTTTGAGATTATTTTTCCTGTATAAATGGGATTTCTATATATCCATCAATAACTTTGACATTATTAAAATTTAATTCAGGAAAAAAAGTCAGCAAATGTAGGAGTCCATATTTACATAAGAATTTTGTCAACAGATTTATTATCGTATTGCTCTAAATATCGTGTTACTGTCATATAATATGTAAATATATCGTAAATCGGTGTATATATCAGTTTGACATTAATACAGATAAACCTGTTTACACAAGCATATTTTACATTTTTGGTTGCAGTTCACGTACATTTGTACATGTCAAAGTAGGGTATTTAAAGTTGTTTTAAATGTAAAGTTTAATGATCTGTGATAAATTTTGAATAAATTAAGATGGAAAGTATAACAGGTAGATTGGATACTATTTAATTCAATTAAAAAATGATATTGGCGGGTTGGTAGAGTTCAAGTTTGATTGGTATTTAGGATACAGAATTAGTTCTAATAATTGCCCTTCTGTTTCCATAGGGGCAAATCTAACGCCATAGAAAGTGATGATTTTCTGCAATTTTCGAATTTTGAAGAGGCGTCAGGGACACAAATTTCTTCAGTTCTTGGCACCATGACTCAATGCTCTATAAACATTACATAATCTTGGACCATCAGTTGGCTGTTATCAGTACAGGGATAATATTAGTTACACAGATTTTTGGCAGGGTATACGGGATGGTATGACCCTAAAGGGTTTCGTATTTCCTGAGGCCGATAGACTTTTGTGTGTTATGTGGCACATTATTATAGTAAGCCCTTTTGGCGAGTGTTTCCTCATCAGTATGCGAAGCAAAACATTTTGCCATTTTGTAAACAGCGAAGCAGACGACGAATGCGAGTTGTCTCCTGATGCCCGGCTGCAAGATACAAAGACACGTGACCCGTATACCCCTTGTAAAATCATGTGATTCCACCGTATTACTACTGAGAATCACGTGACATGACCGTATACCCCCTGAGATTTTCGTATACCCCTTGAGATTTACGAATGCGATTTGGTACACTAGTTTTTAACCAATCAGATTCCTAGATTTTTCTCAAACGGGTAATGATAGTGATGATGGACACATCAATACTGTATGATGATTGTGACCAAACCAGGTATACCAGTGATGTATATAGTATAATGGAATTGGTAAGAAAGGCATTTAGTATTTATGAGTCGACAGGATATTGCCACCATTGTGAATTTGATGTCTACTTGTCTTTGATCTTTGAATACATTAACATGAACCCTTTCACCCCTATGTAACTTGAGTAGACTTTACCATGCATCGATATGGATAAGTCCATTATGGTCTACAGTGGTGAAAGGGTTGAGAGGCTAACAGATGGCCGGGTGTCCCATATACTGTATAAAATGAAATGTCCGGTGTTTATAAACATTAGTGGTTTTCGTGGTAGCTATTGAACCACGAAAATAAATACAACTAATTTGAATGATATACAACATGTATACTGTTTGTCAATATTGGATATCTACGAAAGTTTGTACCAGGAAATGATCTAAATGGGCTTCAAACCACGAAGGAAAGTACCCACAAACATTTCATGTTATGCAGTATGTTGGTGTAGGAGAGCCTCACATGTACATTATACTATCAAACATACTGTTGAATTGTTCCCGTTAGTGGTTTTTTGGCGAGGGTACACAAATATATGTGGATGAGATATTTAAGCTAGCCTTTTTGTCTTAGTCCTGAAATTCCACTGAGAGTTACAGTGAGTAAGATAATATACTTATCAAATGATAAGAAAAAAACTTTTGATTTAAAACCTTGAAAGTGTGGCCGTCTCTGCTATTCAAGATTGTGTTTTTGATGTGATAGAGCAAAATACAATGAAGCACTCCCTTCTCAACTCTGATGTATTAGAGGTGTAAAAGCTACCTTTGTTTGGGAGAGTGGTAAGCTTGGTTGCTAGCCTTGGATATTGTGTACTGTAAGAGACTTGATATATATTATGAAGAGACTTGTAACCTCGCACAGCCAATAGATCTCGGGAAATCTGTCCACCTAGCTTATAACTCCCATTGCTAGACACTGATTATAATTATACATCTTGGCCACCAAAGTTATGAAGAGTAGGGTTAAATGAACTGTCCAGATTTTCCCTGAGATTTGATTGAAGAAAGGCTTCATTTCCATACATTGTGTACGACCTTTAGATATCTGTCAAATCATATAAGGATCAGTACTTACTGTTATACAGGGGCACTACACAGGTTTAATAATGTATCAGAAAAACTAATGGGGGAAAGCGAAAGTCTGTATTGTTGGTTAAAATTGATACAAATGATATATATATATTACGTGTTTGCATTCATTTCAAAATAAATACATGCGCCTGTATATGCAGTGTTTTGGTACAAATACGTGTGTCCTACATTTGGCTGTCCTACTGAAACCCCGTTGTATCGCCACCCCGTTTTACCGTCAAAATTGGCACGGGACAAAAGGTGGCGGTATAATGGGGACTACTGTATATGAATAATTGATGCTTTGACAGACTCGGAAACAAATAATTGTATGCTCGACAAGGCGTTCTATGGACGGTAGTAAATCGTTTCGAAAGCCGTTTTACTGTCAAAATTGGCACGGGACAAAAGGTGGCGGTATAACGGGGGACTGCTGTAATTGGATTAAATATGAGAAAATTAATGCATCACACATTTAAAATGTACAACAGCAAGATCGAGTATTTCTCAATATGGACTAATTTTGGTGCTAATGATATGTGTACACATGCAGGTATGTTATGGTTTCATAGTCTCCGTTTACAATGACATTTGACCTCTTGGGGTGAAAAAGTAACACGAAGTACAACAGCACCCCCACGATCTGTGCTTTATATGGAATGTCACGAATTAGCCTTCATGGTCCAATGGTTATATAGTCCTAAGACAGTGTACTGGGGTTCGTAAAGCACCATATCATATAGACATATAGGTCACAAGAGTACATACCCTTAGACTATGAACGGAGAACTTTGAAGTGAACATGTGTATGGTCAGAATACTTTGTATGCTATTAACAATAGCTCTGAAATGTCTCTTACCGACAGGTACCATAACTGTTTAAATAGCCACACAAGCCGGCCTGTAAGTGATTTTGACCCAGTGCTAGTTAATCTTCTTTTTAAATAAAGTACAGACTAATCAAAGATATGGGTCAATGGAATACAACTTGTATACTGTTATCAACCAGAGCATTTGAAATATATCATGATGAAAGTTGTGAAATCTAAGTGGATTACCTGGTTATTAACAACTCGAACTAACCAAAGACTAAATATATATGGAACCAAGGTAGTTCAGAAAATAAAGGTCTGGAATACATATGCCCAATCTGATTATAAAATGTTTGTTTTGTGTAAGTGACTTACATGACAGTCTTCATTTGTGTAAGTGACCTATATGATAGTCCTAATTTGTGTAAGTGACCTACATGACAGTCCTAATTTGTGTAAGTGACCTACATGACAGTCCTAATTTGTGTAAATGACCTACATGACAGTCCTAATTTGTGTAAGTGATTTACATGACAGTCCTAATTTATGAAAGTGACCTACATGACAGTCCTAATTTGTGTAAGTGACCTACATGACAATCCTAATTTGTGTTAGTGACCTACATGACAGTCCTAATTTGTGTAAGTGACCTACATGACAGTCCTAATTTGTGTTAGTGACCTACATGACAGTCATAATTTGTGTAAGTGACCTACATGGTACATTTTTCAGTTGTCATTACGTCGATTTGAATCAAACTGTCCGTGATTTAGAAAATGTGATGATTTTTTTTCCAGATTTTCTATATAAATACTGCCAAGGTGTCTTCTTTGAGGTGCAAGTTTTGTGTATTTCTTTTTGGGAAGACCTGAATGGAGTGGATCATGTCAGGTTTTAACTAGGGTTGAAAAATTGAAAATATAATGTTTTATTCTGTTTTACATACTACAAACATTGTCATGTTATATGGAATTTAAATGTGCTGAAGCATTGTGTTAAATGCTGTGGAAATATTTCTTCCCAAAATTATTTGGGTCACCAATATGTCATTTGGGCCAGTGCTTCAAGTTTTTTACTCGCCCAAAACAATTTTTGGGGCCAGCCAATGCAGGTTCCCCAATATCCTTTATTGTTCATGTTTACTTTTGAAACTGATCAGTTAAACAAAATGGCCTACCGACAGCCATCTTTGATTTTTGACATTGAAGGTTTGTTCGCACTATTTCTCAGGAATAACTTGAGGGATCTTTCTCAAAATTGTTATGTCGGTTCCCCTTGATCCCTCGTTGTGCATGTTATATTTTGAGACTGAAGGAAGAACTAAACAGATCTTTCTCATATTGCAATGATCGATTCTATTTCTTTCACATTAAGTACTGTACTAGTAAATATGAGAAATGACAAACTCACTTTGAAGGTTGTCTTTTATACACAGCAGTATTTAGTTTAGATCAAAAGTTACGTCAAGGTGCATTTACTGTTATCATGACTCGATCAAACAGATTAGAGGAAAGAAGAGAAAAGATCGAACTGACAAAGAACTAATGAAGATGGTACAATGGTTGGCTAAGATCCCTCTGGGATCTCTTGTTTTGTTTTAAAATGTCAATTAAAGGTATTATTAGTGATATCTGACACCCGCTGTACACTGAGGGCCTTCATAACATTCCATATATGAGATTGCCGATTCAGAGCTATACTATCTGTAATCAATGGCTCAGAATCATTGTCTGTTCAGGGGTATCATATTGCCAGTTCTAGAAGCCTTTGATAAGGGAAAAAGTGAAATAATAAACATTAAAAATGATTATTTTGGCTGACATAGGATATTGTTTTATGAAAGTGATTGCTGTTGTAACAGTACTTGAAAAATTTACTCTGCAAAAACAGAAAGGTTAATACCTTGCCCTGCAGAATACCGTTATATAGGTGAAAATTGACCGTTTATTAGTGTAAACATTTGGGACCAGGAATATCTACCAAGTGACACCCTATTCCTTTAAATCATTCAAGCAGGAATGTCTGTGGTGCCTAGATTGGAGCTCCTCGTGTGTTTTACCAGTATCTGGTCAAAAGCGTAAACAACACCCTGGGGACAGAAACTCCCAATTTATCATACTACTGCTTGTGACTTGGGTAACTTGACTGACCCTGCATTAAGGTTTTGTTTAAAACAATCCAGTTTGGCATTTCTTGATTTTTGACAAATGATTATAAACGGACACTTCAATGAATAAACTGTATAAAGTATGATTTTCCTTTCTTTTTTTTACCGAGTATGTTTTAAAAGTCTATTAACATTGTAAATCTGGCAATTTTTGAAATAAAATGCTAATAAATTTGTTTGCTTGTTTGAACATTCAAAAGACCTTGGTTATTTCAGTTTGTAAATCGATTTTGACTTTAACCCCTAGTATTGTACAACCAATCGCAGCAGGTCGCAGCCGGTCGTTCATTGGGTTTCGCGATCAGATATCTTTGCAGATTTACGGCTGCCGCCACAGCACTGTGCTGTCGTTGTTGCTCCATCATAAGTGCCAACATGAGTTCTATGCCGGGCACAAATTCTATACTCACCATAGCTCTCTTTGGGTCTCGAAGTGGAGAGTGACTTGAACCCTAGAAGTCACTCCAAATATACTCATCCGCGAGCTTAAGATTGGTGGTACCATCAATCGTAAGGTCGGCACTGGTCGCACTTTCAATTGTGGAATAGTACCACAGTTGGCACGTGTGTATGACCCTATACTAGACATTGTGTGTGACCCTATACTAGACATTGTGTGTGACCCTATACTAGACATTGTGTGTGATCCTATACTAGACATTGTGTGTGACCCTATACTAGACATTGTGTGTGACCCTATACTAGACATTGCGTATGACCCTATACTAGACATTGTATGTGACCCTATATTATTGTTACTTTCAGGGTCAGGAAGACATCGTGTTTGAGACATTTTACCACCGTAGTGGAAAGGAGATACAATGTATGTACCTCGGTAATACCCGGTACTACCTCGACGACTGGGGTTCAAAGGTAAGATTTATACCAGTTGGTTTTGCATGTATATAATGAACAAACAGAAAATTTCATTATTTGGTTATTAGCCTTCCTTCAACTATTTTTTTCAAACAATTTCTTCTTCTAACTGTTGAGATAGAATTTAATCAAATTTGACTGGAAGCATTTCTAGGTGGTAGGGATTCAAAATTGCAAGGAGCTAATCGGTAGGGCCAGAAAGGGATAATTTGCCCATATTGATTTAAACAACTTCTCATCTAGATAGATAGCAACTAATTATTTGGTTGGAAGCATTCTTAGGAAGTGGGGATTCAAATTAGACAAATGAAGGGGCTGAAGTTGCTGTGGCGCTGATCAAGGACCTGGGCAAAGGGGGTAATTTGGCCATATTGCTTTAAATTACTACTCCTGTGGAATAACCAGATCGATATCAGCCATATTTGGTCTGAACATTCTCATATGGTGGGGATTCACAGTTGTACCAATTGTACCAAGTGAAGAGCTAAACCCTGGGATGTAGGGGGCAAGGCCAATAAGAGTTAATTACTTAGAAGTGTTTGAGATCCCCTCCCTATTATTATATAAACAATTGCTATGTTTAAAGAGATGAATACACATATGCTACCAGTAGGGCTCCGGGAAGTTGCCACTTGAGACTTAGTCACTGGGTTATAACATTAAAACAGTTTGGATCTCCACCCAATAACCGTATATACAATTGCTTGGCATAAAGAGATGAAACCTGTCATGACACTAGAATGGATCATGGTGTCTGGCCACACTCATACGGACTTCATTTCTAGGCACAACTTGGAAATAGTTTAGATCCTCATCCTTTGACTATTTATACAGTTGCTGAGTTTAATGAGACAAATACACATACATGCTACAAGGATGCCACAGGGTCTGGCCCCACCCTTGAAGACTCAATAGGCCCTGGGTTATATCTTTGAAACAGTTGGGATTTCCACCCCATAACGTGATATATACAATAGCTTGGCTTAAAGAGATGAAACTGTCATGATATTAGAATAATGAAAGATTTGCCTCAGGGTTTGCTTCCTCCCATAGGGAATAAGTCCCTTGGTCAAACTATGGAAAGGTTCAAATCCTCACCCTATAACCATTTTCTGATAGGTTTGAGGTCCCCACCTAATTACTATATATGCCATTGCTAGACATGAGAAATCCAACACAGATATGCTTCCAGGATTGGCCTCTGGGTCTGCCTCATCCCTGGTAACTTATATTCTGGGTTATAACATGGAAAAAGCTTAGATACCCACCACTTAATCAGATATGCAATTGCTGGACATGAAGAGATGAACACACTCATGCTACCAGAATTTTCTCTGGGGTCTGCCCTCACCCTTAGGGACTTATTTCTTGGCCCATAAAATAGAGATATTTGAGATCCCTTTCTATATTAAACTGTATAATTGCATAGCATGGGGGCATGGATACACATATGTAACCAGGATTGGCCCCAGGGACTGGCTCTATCCCAGGGATCTTGCAATGCTACTTTTATGAAAATATATTGCCTTGGTTGCTTAAATATCCAGGTGAGCCATTCAACAGGCCCTCTGGGCCTCTTGTATTCAACATAGATGAACTTTCATTAAGACATCACTTGCTACTTAAAATTTAACAAATTGATGAAGTTACTTGTTAGGATATCCAATGATTTTGTAAATTTTACCACTTCAATTATATGTCATTCATACCAGTCTGGAGTAAAGGTAAGAGCTTCAGTAATTACACTGCTTTAAGTTTCAAACATTCTCTGCTCAATTGTTACTTTCTTTGGTTTTGAGATAGTCATTGTTAGCTGACATAATTAGAAGCCACAAATGTAGATACCGGTAATTGTATTTTTATTTTTATCACAAATTAAAATATTTTTTTCATTACTGTATCATCATTTAGTATATATCACACTGTTTTGATTTAAATCAATTGTAAAACATATACCATAATCAAGGTTTTCAAATACAAGTCATGAAATTCCAATTAAGAAATATCTTAAAAATGTACTATCTTAAGAATGGTAAAAAATGATTCAAGCATGAAAAATATGAACATTTTGATATTTTTAAAATAGACATGATGACAAATTAGACTTTATGGCTCAGTAAGCAAGTTCCAATTGGAAACTTTCCAGGTTTTTCTCCAGACGTCAGGGTTTGAAATTAACATATATCTACTAGCAAAATGTCATGTAAATCTTTAAGAATGTGCTGGTTAAAATATTAAGTTATTAAAAGATTGTAAGTTGAGTTTTTGCCTCTCTGAAAACATGGAATATTGATATTCACCAAGATGTTGTCTGAGAGATATGCTATTTTCCTATGTATATCATTGATTATCTATACAATAGCTGTTCACACCTATTTTGTTCGTGTTCATTCACGGTATATTTGATGAAAATGAAGTTTTGCAAGTGAGTGTCTTATTTACAAAATGAAACTTTCGTTCACCTTCAAAACTTACCAAGTGGCTAAAATAGTTAGTTGTTCCGGTTGTCTTAATGCTGCAGTAATTAGGTACGTACCAAATCTGTCATTTATGATGTTGAATTAAAAGTTTGGTGGAAATTCCTGAATGGTGTCGTCCAAAAGAATGGGTAACCATAGAAACACAGCCTTAGGCATGTTCCTGCTAAAATGGCAATTTAACGTACCAAGGATAAACAGTGTTTTTTTGTCCTGTCTTTTACTTTTGTGCTGGAGTCATTGATAGAAAGCTTTTATTGTGCGTGTACATTCACACAATGTGCACGATGTATATCACAAATGTTTAGAGTTTCTTTTTTGGGTTAAAATTTAAAAGTTCATTTTATGTTATTTCCTCTATATTTATACCAAAACGTTGCCAGTCTATTTGCGGAGATAGAACATCTTGAAACTATTTATCATTCAGTATAAAATTAGCCACGACCAGTAGCACAGTGGATAAGCTCACTGCTTTAACTCATTCACCCCTGAAATTTCATAATGAACTTTTCCAACCTTTGAATTGGAAGAGTTCATTATGAAATTTCAGGGGTTAATGAATTCAATCAAGAGGCCTTGGGACCAAATCCCTGTGGTGGAGATGTTTCTATAAACAAAAGGAAGTAATGATAACTCTTTGCTGTAGTAAATGGACAAACACCTTTAAGTAAGAAAAATATCAACAAACTAGAACTGACCTTGTACAAGATACAGTAAAGAGTGCTGGGACTGCTAACCTAAGCTTAAACATGTAACTCCAGAACACTGGCGAAGTCTTGAGGTCATTGCAAGGTCATCTGATCAAAGTGGATTTAAAGATAAATATTTCTCAATTTTCCATTTTCACCAGACTTAGTAGCTTATCAAGACTATACTTAACACTTAAGTGTCCAGATAGGGAGAAAGGTCGGAGACCAAAGTGAACACTGATTTGTCATTTTGTGTCAAACTTAGGAAAATAATACCCAAACTTGTCCCTTGTGCTTCAACTATTTCATAAACATCTTGCTCATTTATTGTTATACAGTGAAGAGTTCAGTTTAATTTAGTTTAGTTTCTGAAACATTAGATACATCTAAATACAATCTTCAGCACCTCAGCGAAACAATTTACAAATATGCATGCATTATACATTTCAGTATTCACATATTCTAGTTCATTTGTGACATCACATCCTGATTAAATACTGTGTGTTTTTAGCTCACCTGGCCCAAAGGGCCAAGTGAGCTTATGCCGTGGTGTGGCGTCCGTCGTCTGGCATCAATATTTTACTTTAAACAACTTCTTCTTAATAACCAAAAGGCCTAGGGTGATGATATTTGGCCAGAAGCAAACTGGGATAAAGTGCTACGAATTTTGTTAAAATGATTGACCTTCACTTATATTCAAGGTCACAGGGGTCAATTGTCTTTAAAAACATTTGAACAACTTTGACCTTCACTTATATTCAAGGTCACAAGGGTCAATTGTCTTTAAAAAGATTTGAACAACTTCTTCTGAATAACCAGAAGGACCAGGATGGTGATATTTGGTAAGTAGCATGCTGGGATGAAGGGTTACCAAGTTTGTTCAAATAAACGGCCTTCACCCATATTCAAGGTCACAGGGGTAAAATATGTTAAAAACTTTAAACGACTTCTTCTGAATAACTAAAATGCCCAGGTGATGATATTTGGCCAGTAGCATGCTGGAATGAAGGGCTACCAAGTTTGTTGAAATGAATAACCTTCACTTATATTCAAGGTCACATGGGTCAATTGTCTAAAAAACAACTTCTTCTGGATAACCCAAAGGACAAGGATGTTGATATTTGTTCAGTAGCATGCCGGGATGTAGGGCTACCAAAATTGTTCAAATAAATGACCTTCACTTAATATTCAAGGTCACAGTGGTCAAATATGTTAAAAACTTTAAATGACTTCTGAATAACCAAAAGGCCAAGGGTGATGATATCTGGCCAGTAGCATGCTAGGACAAAGGGCTACCAAATTTGTTAAAATGAATCACCTTGACCTGTATTTAAGGTCACAGGGGTCAAATATGTTTAAAATCTTTAAACGACTTCTGCTGAATAACCAAAAGGCCCAGGATGATGATATCTAGCCAGTAGCTTGATAGGATAACGTGCTACCAAGTTTGTTCAAATGAATGACCTTGACTTATATTCCAGGTCACGGGGATCAAATTTGTTTAAAATCTTTAAACGACTTCTTCTGAATAGTCATGAGGCCTACAATGTTGAAATTTGGCCAGTAGCATGCTTGCATGAAGGGCTATTAAGTCATTTGAATGAGGTCACCTTGACCTTCTCTCAAGGTCACATTGCGTCAAATATGTATAAACCTTTAAATGACCTTATCTCAATAAACAAAAGGTCTAGGGTGGTGATATTTGGCAAGTTGCATGCTGAGATGAAGGGCTATAAAGTATGTTCAATGTCAAATGTTTTAAAATATTTTAACAGGTTATTTTGAATGACTTATAGTCATAAATACTGATCTTTTGCTTGTAGCTTTAGTTAAGATCACTTTTAAGGTTACAAGTGTGGCATTAATACCAGGTGAGCGATGCAGGCCCATTAGTCCTCTTGTTTAATCATAAGCAGTTGGTAAATAATCCGCTGTTTCAATTCTGGTTTTGTATTATTTTCTAAATGGCATTGATACCTCATTATGTGGAAGGGTGTCCCATAATTTCATGACATGTATAAAAGAAAGAAAACCAAACTAAGATGTTTAAATGCTGTGAATGGAACTTTTGTTTTTACCTCAAGTTCCTAGCGTTATGGCAAGGCTATGGTTTAGGTAGGTTTTATATATCACTGATATTCTTGGTCTCGAGTAAGGTGATCTGCAACAAGGTGTGTTGTTATCATATGGTCTCAAGTAAGGTGATCTGCAACAAGGTGTGTTGTTATTACATTTATGTTATTGTACATTCCGACAGGAATGGCAACTTTTCCCCAAGCGCTGGTACAATGAAGGACTGCTTATTACTAATAATGTCCTCAAGGATGAACACCAGGCTCAGGTAAGTACATTGTATGTAGGCTATGGTTGGTAACGGGGCCAAGGGTTTGTGATCACTGTGGAATCTCCTTGTCAGTACAGTGTCTTACTATGTCAGACCACTAAACAGTGTCTTACTATGTCAGACCACTAAACAGTGTCTTACTATGTCAGACCACTAAATAGCTGGTACACCAGGATGCACTGACATATTATATTATAGGTATACACATTTTTTATCTGTAAATAAAATCTTTTATCCTTATCTTTGAAAAATTAACGATTCAGTTTTACGTTTGAAAAATTAAAAAAAATGATACTGTTACGATAATTCTCTAAAAAATCAGAGATTTTGTGTCTAAGATGACCACGGCTGTATCTTGGTCAGTATCCAATAAAAGTTTGATTGAATTAAAAGTATTTTAAGTCAGTGATTTTCCAGCACTGCATACTAAAAAAGAACTTTGAAGACAGTGAGTGTCAATAATATTGAAACTTGGTAGAAATAATGGAAGGCGTTTTGTGTAGCTGTAATGTATTCCACAGGCCAGTCAGCTGGCAGCACAGCAGAGCCAGGGGGTAGCATCCGGGTCTGGGGCAGGCACCTCAGGATCTGGTGAGGGAGGACCAGCTCAACCAGGGACATCAAAATCCAGGCGCAGTGGGGACGACAGAGAGGGTGTACTCAAACATCCAACAAAGGGGAGGATACCAACGTATATATACCAGGTATACACACTGACTTATACCAGGTTCACACACAGATATATACCAGGTACACACACTGACATATAATAAGTATACACACTGACATTATCAGGTATACACACTAACATATACCAGGTACAAAAACTGACATATAACAGGTACACACACAGAATATATACCAGGTATTTTAGTTATACCCCTCTTGCAACGAAGGTTATTTGGGGTGTTTTTTTTATGGGGGAGGGGGGCTGACGCATTTACTCATTTATTTTTTTGTGTAGTGACAATTTCATATGTAGTTGTGCCCCCTGAAATGATTTGCCTTTCAGACCTTTTCAAGAAAGGTCCTTCCTCTTTTGGCCTAATCCTTATGATTTTTACATAAGTAATACACCTTACAATTCTGCTTACCGGGTATTCACTGTATGATTTTGTCTTATTTCTGCCGATTCCCTAATTTCCTGATAACAGTCCCCTCAGTGCTTTGAATAAACCTAGAAACTGAAGCGAATAGAAAGAAAATGGTGGGGGGGAAAAAATCAAAAAGCAATGAGATCAAAAAAGTAAACCAGAATACAGAGAATGACTTTTCCATTAAAATTTATGAGAATGCGGGAGGTATACTTGTCACGCCCCTGGATGACAGCTCTAGTTAAGCCTGCAAACATTCACTGAATATATAAGTAAAACAATTAATCACATGATAACACTCTTATTTTAATTTTTGTGTCCTTATTCCACAGAGGAAGCACAATGTGCACTTTTTCTATGACCAAGATCAGGGTCAGTGGATGAGGATGCCCATTGGCTGGGAGTTACATCACGAGATGGTTGGACGCCTAGTTAATCAGGTAGAGGAAATGATGCCGACCTGGGCTGATCGTGGGGACATCCTAGCACTTCTGCGGCAGTGTAATTATGACATTGACGAGTGTATCTCCACTTATCTGTCTCTGGAGGGAGATCGTAAGTATACCATTGGCTGTCACGAGGGACAATAGAAACTGGGAAAAGGGGGTAGATCATGTGGTGTAGGCTGTCTGGTGGGGCAAGGAATGGAGGATTGTAGTGTAGTATACGGTAGGCTGTCTGAAGGGACAAGGAATGGAGGATTGTTGTGTAGTATACGGTAGGCTGTCTGGAGGGACAAGGAATGGAGGATAGTAGTGTAGTGTAGTATACGGTAGGCTGTCTGGAGGAACGGGGAATGGAGGATTGTAGTGTAGTATAGGCCGTCTGGAGGGACAGGGAATGGAGGATTGTAGTGTAGGATAGGCTGTCTGGAGGGGCAAGGAATGGAGGATTGTAGTATAGTATAGGCTGTCTGGAGGGACAGGGAATGGGGGATTGTAGTGTAGTATAGGCTGTCTGGGGGGACAAGGAATGGAGGATTGTAGTGTAGTGTAGTATATGGTAGGCTGTCTGGAGGGACAAGGAATGGAGGGTTGTAGTGTAGTGTAGTATACGGTAGGCTGTCTGGAGGAACGGGGAATGGAGGATTGTAGTGTAGTATAGGTTGTCTGGAGGGACAAAGGAATGGAGGATTGTAGTGTAGTATACGGTAGGCTGTCTGAAGGGACAAGGAATGGAGGATTGTTGTGTAGTATAGGCTGTCTGGAGGGGCAAGGAATGGGGGATTGTAGTATAGTATAGGCTGTCTGGAGGGACAGGGAATGGAGGATTGTAGTGGAGTATAGGCTGTCTGGAGGGGCAAGGAATGGGGGATTGTAGTATAGTATAGGCTGTCTGGAGGGACAGGGAATGGGGGATTGTAGTGTAGTATAGGCTGTCTGGAGGAACGGGGAATGGGGGATAGACAGTGTAGGGTACGCTGTCTGGAGGGGCAAGGAATGGAGGATTGTATTGTAGTATAGGCTGTCTGGAGGGACAAGGAATGGAGGGTTGTAGTGTAGTGTAGTATACGGTAGGCTGTCTGGAGGGGCGGGGAATGGAGGATTGTAGTGTAGTATAGGTTGTCTGGAGGGACAGGGAATGGAGGATTGTAGTGGAGTATAGGCTGTCTGGAGGGGCAAGGAATGGAGGATAGACAGTGTAGTATACGGTAGGCTAACTGGAGGGACAATGAATGGAGGATTGTAGTGTAGTGTAGTATACGGTAGGCTGTCTGGAGGGACGGGGAATGGAGGATAGACAGTGTAGGATACGCTGTCTGGAGGGACAAGGAATGGAGGATTGTAGTGTATTATACGGTAGGCTGTCTGGAGGGACAAGGAATGGAGGATAGTAGTGTAGTGTAGTATACGGTAGGCTGTCTGGAGGGACGGGGAATGGGGGATAGGCAGTGTAGGGTACGCTGTCTGGAGGGACAAGGAATGGAGGGTTGTAGTGTAGTGTAGTATACGGTAGGCTGTCTGGAGGGGCGGGGAATGGAGGATTGTAGTGTAGTATAGGCTGTCTGGAGGGACGGGGAATGGGGGATAGACAGTGTAGGATACGCTGTCTGGAGGGACAAGGAATGGAGGATTGAAGTGTAGTATAGGCTGTCTGGAGGGACAAGGAATGGAGGATTGTAGTGCAGTATAGGCTGTCTGGAGGGACAAGGAATGGAGGATTGTAGTGTAGTATACGCTGTCTGGAGGGACAAGGAATGGAGGATTGTAGTGTAGTATATAGGCTGTCTGGAGGGACGGGGAATGGGGGATAGACAGTGTCGTATATGCTGTCTGGAGGGACAAGGAATGGAGGATTGTAGTGTAGTGTAGGCTGTCTGGAGGGACGGGGAATGGGGGATAAACAGTGTAGTACAGCTGTCTGGAGGGACAAGGAATGGAGGATTGTAGTGTAGTATAGGTTGTCTGGAGGGACAAGGAATGGAGGATTGTAGTGTAGTATACGCTGTCTGGAAGGACAAGGAATGGAGGATTGTAGTGTAGTATAGGCTGTCTGGAGGGACGGGGAATGGGGGATAGACAGTGTAGTATAGGCTGTCTGGAGGGACAAGGAATGGGGGATAGACAGTTTAGTATAGGCGGTCTGGAGGAACAAGGAATCGAGGATTGATATGGGGGTCCTGTAGTTATTCTGGTGTCCATCTCTTGAGATATTCGGGTTCTGTAGTAATTCTGGTTTCCATCTCTGAGATATTCGGGTCCTGTAGTAATTCTGGTATCCATCTCTGTCTGCCCACACTTTTGTTTTTAAAGATTATCCCATAAGGATTTTTAACAAATGTTTATACACTGATATTTAGATGTCCAAACAAGGTTCAAAAAGTTTCTATGGTCAAGGTAAAGGTCATTGTTACTAAAACAAAAGGGGGCCATGTTGAGTACAGTCCCGATCTCAGAATCCAAACAAATCATCTTTTTGAAATTTGACCTGGTAATAGACTGTGATATATAGGTGTGCAATATGAGTTTAAAAGTTTCTTAAGTCAAGGTCAGGATTACTGTTACTAAAAACAGAACGTATAGGGTAACGGTACGGTCAGACACATCGCGGGGCCATTGCTGCCCTGTCAGTATTCTGAACTTAGTATAATATAATATAACTCAAAGTACTGATTTGGTCAAGGATACTCAAATTTCACATGCTTGATTGGAGGTAAATGGGATAAAGATCAAAGTCTCTGTTGCTGTAAAACCATTTTATGTGTCCTCTAAACAATTCTGCTTGGCCTGTGTAAAGTGCTTACGAATCGATGTCATGTCAATTCATTACAGTCAGCTTTGTAAATATTTGATGAAATATACACTTTTTATATATTTTTGCACAGCATGTCTCAAAGTGATATAATAACGATATTATCGCTTCAATAACTTTTGCAGCCTGGCTCAAAGTGGCCAAGACATCAAAAGAAGTGAAAGGTAGCCAAGAAAAAGATGAACGGATAATTGAACTGGAAAAAAAAGTCAAGGAATTGGTAGGTATTTCCGTCCACTTTTAACACACTGCAAGGGTCTGATGAAATGAACAGTGAATAGTTCAGTGAACCCAGAGTTCATCTTCCGATTCAGTTCAAATAGGTTATAAATATACTCTTGTTGATGAGGGGTCTTTTGGGGTAATTTTGATTGTCTGAAAAGTTCTTGGTCTGTAACTTCTGTTTTGTTGGTCTGTTTTGTTTTGTTGCACCATTAATTATTCTCTAAAATATTCACTGTGGCTTCTGTTTATAAACTATTTGGGGAACATGTATGGTCAAGCACACAGAGGGGTCCCTCCTGTCGGTGTTCTAGTCTGTTAAAGATTTGGTAGAGAGAAAAAATAAAGATTACGTAGCGTAGAAAAAGTGGTCTATTTGAGTAAGAAGTGTTTATCTGGCTCATTAATGTCGGACACCTCCAGGTCAGTCTACTAATTGTGTACGAGGAAGCGGCCAGGAAGGTATGAACTGTCCAAGTAAGGAGGGGTATGTGTACCGGGAATATTTTACACATCCAGTCAAGTACTCATAGGTATACACCCACCACATAGAAAAAAGCTTGCACCAGATGACGTAGGAGGAATATACTCTGTACAGTAAGGAGGAAACATTCCTCGTTTCCCTGGTAACCCATGTATAGTCTTCTTGTTGTTTATTTTGCAGGAAAATGAACTCAGTAAAGAAAAGAAAGAACGGCAGGATGCAGAGAGGATTGTAAGTTTGTGTTCTGTATTGAAATATTATCTGTTTGGACCTCTTCAACTTACCACTGAAGTAAAAACCTTGTTAAATTGTCTCAGTTGGTCCAAATACATGTTGGCATTATGACGGGGTTTTGTTATATAGATCTTGAGAGGTATATTATTTAAGGGAAAGAAGATCACGGAACATGATACACACCAGTTTTTACACAATTCTATGCACTACCTAATCATACTATCAACTTCACCTGGACAGTTAAACCGTAATATAATGGCCAGTTTTGATCTGAGACGGCAAATGATATAATTTACAGCTTTAAGGACGTTTTGCTGGTGAATATGATGTGATTTGAACCTAAAAAAGTTAAACTTTTTCAGGCTCATGAAATATTATATTTACCAGCACCAAAGTCCATTACTGTTTTATTTCATGCTTCAACAATAAAATTGTAATTTGCTGGCCAGGTTTTTCTTTTTAAGATATTTTTTTTCCGTCTCATGTTATTGCGCGACCTAAATACTTCAAACATTGATTTTTTTAAACCATGCTGACTTGTGCGATATGTTTGCATGTTCAAAATTAGCTAAATATACAATAAATATGTAAAGCATTTCTTCACCAAACAATGTGAAAAATTTGGCAAGAGTTGAAATTAACAGTTCAGTATCATTGCTAGTTTGAAAGTTATCACCAAGTTTTTTTTACTTCAGCATATGCCTAGAAAACATGCACTGAATGTGCGTCAACAAATTGTACAGAATTTTCTAAAAGCTATATGTATAAATTGATTCTATTATGTTGGATGTTACAGGTAAGAGACCAGCAGGAGAAGCTGACTGACCTAGAAGTGAATTGTAAACAGGCTGAGGCACAGTTGTCCTCCATGGCTTCCACACGACCCAAATCCAGCATGCGGCCTAAGACACCACAGGTAAATGATTCCTGTGAATGCTTGTTCACTCGATTGGTATGAAATATTAAACAATGACTTTTGAAGATAAAGCATCATTATTACTATATAGATCTATGACATTGTATATGAAAAATAAAAGAAACTGCTGTTTTGTTCTATTTCAATCATAATGCATTTTCCTTGGACCTAAAGGTTGTTACAACGGTGGTGAAGGAGGAGACGGTGAACCCAGAGGACATTGAGGATCTCAATGATACAGCTAAGACTGTGAGGAAAGCACATGCACAGCTTAAGATGGAGGTCAACCGAAACTTTCAGAGCCTCGGGGAGATGATGGCTCAGGTAAGTGCAGACTTCAGATGATACTGCCAACATATGTTAAGTGTTAGCTTACTTACTTGAAGGCAAGCTGTACCGCGCTGTCTCACCTACTTGAAGGCAAGCTGTACCGCACTGTCTCACCTACTTGAAGGCAAGCTGTCCCGTGGTGTCTCACCTACTTGAAGGCAAGCTGTGCTGTGGTATCTCACCTACTTGAAGGCAAGCTGTGCTTTGGTGTCTCACCTACTTGAAGGCATGCTGTGCCGTGGTGTCTCACCTACTTGAAGGCAAGCTGTCCCGTGGTGTCTCACCTACTTGAAGGCAAGCTGCGCCGCAGTGTCTCACCTACCTGAAGGCATGCTGTGCCGTGGTGTCTTACCTACTTGAAGGCATGCTGTGCCGTGGCATCTGATAACCAAGAGGCCTAGGTTGATAATGTTTGACCAGTAACACACTTTGGCAGAGAGCTAGCTATTGATTTGTTCAAATGAACAATCTTGACCCACATTTATAAAGTCATGGATCCAATGCATTAGAGCCTTTGAAAATCTTATGAATAAGCAAAAGGCCTTGGTTGATAATGTCTTTCCTGCTGGGGTATAGTTAGATCATTGGAAGGGCTATCAGGTTTGTCCTTCTTAATATTCTATACTAACTTTTTATGTCACATGGGTTGAATATGTGGAAAACTCCAAGGACTTCTTCTTAACAACCTTACAGCCTTGACTAGTAACAGTTGGCCATAGCTTGATGGGGTAACATACTATACTATCACTTAGTTCCATTGAAATTACCTTGACCAACTTTGAAGGTCACAGGAGTAAAACAAGAAAAAAAAATCCAATGCATTTGTAAAGTATTTTAAGTCATCCCTGGGGGAACTCCAGTAGGGACTATTAATTTCGGTTTTTGTCCCAGATTTTGACATCTGTTGCCGATCACTGTTCAGAGCTTTCGTGTGTTCGCTTCTGTTGAATATAACCAGGCGCTAGTTACAAGATCTTGGATAACTCGGATATTGATTTCCTTTTTAAACAGGAATAACGTACAACCTAAAGGCATTCCAAATATCTCCATGTTTCAAATGGGAATTAAATATAACCTAAAGATGTTCTGAGTATGAATCAGTCACCTTTGAGGTTCCCGAAGGGGTAGACTGTTATATTATATATTGCTATTGATTGATTTAGATATTTTATGTCTGACCAACGACTACTGTAAATATTCGCATATAGTGTGCACTTTTTTAAGGAAAAATTAAAGTGTCAAGAAGGGGTGCGCATGATACACAAGAAAAATCCAAAACCAGTCCTTGGTTGCGACCATTTATTGTCAATGTTTCTGGGATTTTCGGAAATGTTTTGAAATATGCTGGCAGCTATAAACAGCTAAATTTCGTTGAATAACTCCTGATTGCATTGTCTATTTAACCATTACGAAAAGTTGCAAGTTTAGGAATCGGATAAATAAACTCGAGTAAAGTAAGCCCAACTTTCAGGTCTAATTGACGTTAGGTTGTGAGTTGATTAATACCATGTATGGGGAATCATAACATAGAATTGCATCGTAATTAGCACTCTGGGGTTTAAAATACCTTTCTTGAGTAAAATCATGCTGAACTATGCAATATTGACAGTAGGTATGTGTCAAAAAGACATGGGGAAAGTGGCGAAGTTCGGAAGTTTGTGTACTGCAAAGAATCAAGGTCGCGTGATACTATTTACCGGCAGGAACTCAAAAGGTCACGTACATGTGAATTGAACCGATAATGATAAAAGTTTGAGTTTGAAAAATAATTTTACAGGCTCAAAAAAAAAAAAAGGGAAAAATCGTACCTGTACACTATACCAGTGTGCACAATACGCGAATATTTACGGTATATTGGGAATATTTACGGTATATTAGAATATTTACAGATATTTACGTTATATTGGAATATTTACGGTATATTGGAATATTTCTTTCTAAACCAATTGAAATGTTGTAATGAAATGTTCAGGTAGAAAAGCTCAATAACGTCTCGTTTTCTTTATCATTTCACGCAGTGACATGTCTAATGCAAAAAGGAAAACTTCACCAAGCGAAAGTAAATAGTTAACGACATTGTTGGAATTTGCTTTATGTTTTAAATATACAGACCACTTTCAGCAGTAACATGCTAATTTCAAACGGTGATCTGTTAAACATATAATTGTGCCATCAATCAAACAAATATTTGATCAACATTAATATACGTGTCCAACGATGACTTAACAATAACCCTCGACCTTTTCCGGGCAATGACCATGTGCTTTGTTTTTGTAAACTTTAAACAAGTAAATCAATCACATACTTTCTTATTTTATTCATGTGTTGGCATGGTTACCTTAACAGCGTGTATGCATATACACCTGGTCATTGTTAGATCATTTTGATTGACAGGTGAAAATCTGTCAGTTGTAGCTTATCATACTTATGTATTTAATACATATTAATTGTACTTGTGTGTACATACAGGTATCATTACTATACTAGTGTACATATATGTAGTTTAAATGTACATGTGTGTACATATATGTATCATGTATTTTTATACTGAAAATGTCCATACAAGAGATGGGGTGACTTTCATGTCATTTTGACATATTTCTAGTTCTTACATTACAAGGTAAGTTTGTTTCATTATCCCCCCGCTCACCGGGTTGGCGGGGGATATAGAAATCGGGTCCCTGCGTACGTCCGTCTGTATGTCCGTCCATGCACCTGGTAAAAAAGAATTGCTTTCATCTATATCTTGCCTACTACAGGTCCTATGTTGATTAAACTTGTATCAATTGTGTATGTAGGGTTGCTCTACTGAATGCATATTGTGGATGCTGATTTTGACCTATATTTTAAGCTTCATGGTTTTAATGACGTTTATAAACTTGCACTGCGAGCGGGTGATTTCGATGATGGCGTCTTCTTGTTAAGGGTTTGAGGGTTAAGATATGAAATCTGTTCGCCAACAACATTAATACAAACCCTATGGGTGTCTTGTAAAGAAACACTTTCTTATACATGTATAACATAGGGTTTTGCTGGCCTTGATGTTTTGTCACATTATATTGATAGCATACTGTAATTCATTTTATAGCACAGTAATTATTTTTATTCCCTGCCATTTTATGGGGTTGTATAAAGTGTTTACCATATAATATTACAATCCTATAGTGTTAACCATATAATATTACACTCATACAAGTGTTAACGTATAATATAACAATCATAAAGTGTTAACCGTATAATATTACAATCCTATAGTGTTAACCATATAATATTACAATCCTGTAGTGTTAACCATATAATATCACAATCCTAAAGTGTAAACAATATAATATTACAATCCTAAAGTGTGAACAATATAATATTACAATCCTATAGTGTTAACCATATAATATTACAATACTGTAGTGTTAACCATATAATATTAGTCCTGTATTGTTAACCATATAATATTACAATCCTGTAGTGTTTATATAATATTACAATCCTGTAGTGTTAACAATATAATATTACAGTCCTATAGTGTTAACCATATAATATCACAATCCTATAGTGTTAACCATATAATATCACAATCCTAAAGAGTGAACAATATAATATTACAATCCTGTAGTGTTGACCATATAATATCACAATCCTAAAGTGTGAACAATATAATATTACAACCCTGTAGTGTTACCCATAAAATATTAGTCCTGTAGTGTTAACCATATAATAATACAATCCTATAGTGTTAACCATATAATAATACAATCCTATAGTGTTAACCATATTATATTACAATCCTGTAGTGTTAATCTTATAATATTACAATCCTGTAGTGTTAACAATATAATATTAGTCCTGTAGTGTTAACCATATAATGTTACAATCCTGTAGTGTTAACCATATAATATCACAATCCTATAGTGTTAACCATATAATATCACAATCCTAAAGTGTGAACAATATAATATTACAATCCTGTAGTGTTAACCATAAAATATTAGTCCTGTAGTGTTAACCATATAATATTACAATCCTATAGTGTTACCCATATAATATTACATTCATGTAGTATAACCCATACAATATTCCAATATTACAGTCCTATAGTGTTAACCATATAATATTACATTCATGTAGTATAACCCATACAATATTCCAATATTACAGTCCTATAGTGTTAACCATATAATATTACATTCATGTAGTATAAACCATACAATATTACAATATTACAGTCCTATAGTGTTAACCATATAATATTACAATCCTGTAGTGTTAACCATATAATATTAGTCCTGTAGTGTTAACCATATAATATAACGATCCTATAGTGTTAACCATATAATATTACAATCCTATAGTGTTAACCATATAATATTACATTCATGTAGTATAAACCATACAATATTACAATATTACAGTCCTATAGTGTTAACCATATAATATTACAATCATGTAGTGTTAACCATATAATGTTACAATCCTGTAGTGTTAACCATATAATATCACAATCCTAAAGTGTTAACCATATAATATTACAGTCCTGTAGTGTTAACCATATAATATTTCATTCATGTAGTGTAAACCATATAATATTACAGTCCTGTAGTGTTAACCATATGATATTACAGTCCTGTAGTGTTAACAATATAATATTACAATCCTATAGTGTTAACCATATAATATTACAATCCTAAAGTGTTAACCATATAATATTACAATACTATAGTGTTAACCATATAATATTACATTCATGTAGTGTAAACCATATAATATTACAATACTATAGTGTTAACCATATAACACTACAGGACTGTAATATTATATGGTTTACACGATAGGATTGTAATATTATATTGTTAACACTACAGGACTGTAATATCATATGGTTAACACTTTAGGATTGTAACATTATATGGTTAACACTATAATATTACAATCCTATAGTGTTAACCGTATAATATTACAATTCTATAGTGTTAACCATATAATATTACAATCCTATAGTGTAAACCATATAATATTACAATCCTATAGTGTTAACCATATAATATTACAATCCTATAGTGTTAACCATATAATATTACAATCCTATAGTGTTAACCATATAATATTACAGTCCTGTAGTGTTAACCATATGATATGACATTCCTGTAGTGTTAACAATATAATATTACAATCCTATAGTGTTAACCATATAATATTACAATCCTATAGTGTTAACCATATAATATTACAATCCTATAGTGTTAACCATATAATATTACAATCCTATAGTGTTAACCATATAATATTACAATCCTATAGTGTTAACCATATAATATTACAATCCTATAGTGTTAACCATATAATATTACAATCCTATAGTGTTAACCATATAATATTACAATCCTATAGTGTTAACCATATAATATTACAATCCTATAGTGTTAACCATATAATATTACAATCCTATAGTGTTAACCATATAATATTACAATCCTATAGTGTTAACCATATAATATTACAATCCTATAGTGTTAACCATATAATATTACAATCCTATAGTGTTAACCATATAATATTACAATCCTATAGTGTTAACCATATAATATTACAATCCTATAGTGTTAACCATATAATATTACAATCCTATAGTGTTAACCATATAATATTACAATCCTATAGTGTTAACCATATAATATTACAATCCTATAGTGTTAACCATATAATATTACAATCCTATAGTGTTAACCATATAATATTACAATCCTATAGTGTTAACCATATAATATTACAATCCTATAGTGTTAACCATATAATATTACAATCCTATAGTGTTAACCATATAATATTACAATCCTATAGTGTTAACCATATAATATTACAGTCCTATAGTGTTAACCATATAATATTACAATCCTATAGTGTTAACCATATAATATTACAGTCCTGTAGTGTTAACCATATAATATTACAATCCTATAGTGTTAACCATATAATATTACAGTCCTGTAGTGTTAACCATATAATATTACAATCCTATAGTGTTAACCATATAATATTACAGTCCTGTAGTGTTAACCATATAATATTACAATCCTATAGTGTTAACCATATAATATTACAGTCCTGTAGTGTTAACCATATAATATTACAATCCTATAGTGTTAACCATATAATATTACAGTCCTGTAGTGTTAACCATATAATATTACAATCCTATAGTGTTAACCATATAATATTACAGTCCTGTAGTGTTAACCATATAATATTACAATCCTATAGTGTTAACCATATAATATTACAGTCCTGTAGTGTTAACCATATAATATTACAATCCTATAGTGTTAACCATATAATATTACAGTCCTGTAGTGTTAACCATATAATATTACAATCCTATAGTGTTAACCATATAATATTACAGTCCTGTAGTGTTAACCATATAATATTACAATCCTATAGTGTTAACCATATAATATTACAGTCCTGTAGTGTTAACCATATAATATTACAATCCTATAGTGTTAACCATATAATATTACAGTCCTGTAGTGTTAACCATATAATATTACAATCCTATAGTGTTAACCATATAATATTACAGTCCTGTAGTGTTAACCATATAATATTACAATCCTATAGTGTTAACCATATAATATTACAGTCCTGTAGTGTTAACCATATAATATTACAATCCTATAGTGTTAACCATATAATATTACAGTCCTGTAGTGTTAACCATATAATATTACAATCCTATAGTGTTAACCATATAATATTACAGTCCTGTAGTGTTAACCATATAATATTACAATCCTAAAGTGTTAACCATATAATATTACAATCCTAAAGTGTTAACCATATAATATTACAATCCTATAGTGTTAACCATATAATATTACAATCCTATAGTGTTAACCATATTATGTTTCAAGTATGGCCCATCTTATCCTTATCCTGGATCTTTGCTATAGCAACTTTATTTCTTGACAAGTTTCAAAAAAAGGCTGAAAAGATGTAGTATAAGAATAATTTGAAAAAAAATGGGTTTCAGGGGTTGATAGTCAAGGATAAGGTCACTATTGTTATTTATAGAATTGTCATCCAACTCAATGACATCACTCAAGCCACTTCATTGCTTTATCAATTTTGATCAAACTTTAAACAATGGTCAAATATGAGAATACCTCAAATAAATTCATATTTCCGTGATCCAAGGTTAAAGTTTAAGTCTCCGCTTTGCGTGGGTTCATTCTTTTCTAATAGGCATATTCTAAGTACAATCATTGTAATTTGTGGACTTGGAAAAGGATGATGAAGATACCATAGATGATAACTATCATTAAATAAAAATGATGTGAAAAAGTTAGTAAAGTAGTCTGTGTTAATTAATTATGAAAAGGATCTTTTTACACAACCAATAAGATTAAAATAACCGAGATAAAGGGGCTTAAAGACTCTCGCACATCTATGACCAAATATTAAACAAAGCGTAGCTGAATCGAGTCATTTCGGTAGATATATAACAACTTTTGTACATACGCTTACAGCGTAGCTGAATCGACATAGATTTTATGGACAACTCGTTCACATTTTACACCTTTGTGTGCATACGCTTCACTGGTCATTTGTCTGATGGAGGTGACAGTGTACATATCGTACTAATCATCGAAACGTCACATAAAAAATCATATTGGTTGTGTAAAAAGACCTTTAATAATTCATACTTAACAACCTGAAGAAAATGTTTAGAAATAGTGTGTGTTAACTCTCGGTATGGGAGTATCACAGAGCACAATACATGGGTGTCTATGATCTGTTAGTTAATACTCATATTGGGAATGCAGGCCATAGTCATGGTGCCCCCCCCACCTAGAAACAAATATATCACATGATAATTATTATTAAAAATGTTCAATGTCAAGCAATAAAACCTGAGGACAGCCTCCCTACATATGTAGCGAATATAATGACAGTTACGCAATTTGAGTGCAAAATAAATGAACACTAGAAAGAAAAAAAAGTGAATTATTATTTTTGATAATTATTAGAAAAATATTTGAACTTGTGTTACCTCACCAAATTTATGCAATAAAGAAGGATGTAGTCGCTTGTATTAGTAAAACACACAATAAGATATCATGTGAAAATACATTGTATTGTCCTTGGTGATATAATTATATCTTTGATATATGAAAACGATTATCAATTTATGTTGAAAAATTTATAAATCTGGATCAAATGTGTGTGTAACTAAACAGATGAATTATTTGATGTTGTTTGACTTCGTAGTGAACAATCTACTATACCTTTATCACTGCTGTGTTTGACTCTAGGCATTGAAACATGTGAAGATGCTGAAGAGTTCGGGTCAAGGCCAGGTCGAGGAACTTGAGGAGGTGCGAGCTCTCTACAGAAAGGAAGCCATGCAGCGGAGACTTCTGTACAACCAGGTAATAAATAGTTTACCTGTCAACAGATTTGTTTTAGCTAAATGGCAAGTTTTAATTTACATATTTTATATATTTTAATTTCAAATATATTTAACATATGTACTAGAATTTCATGAAGATTAGGATTAGAAAAAATTGTCATCTCTTCAAATGCTCTTCATAATCTTCATAACCTATCATAATCAGTGTAAGACAAGCACTTGGTACTATCACAAATGTTGCCCAGAATGAACAAAGTCAACCATGACCTTGTTTAGAGTTCAGGCATCAGTTGCAATTGTTGTTGGGAGTTGAAACCTTTGCTTACAAGCACATTGGGGTTCAAGCCTTGTTAGGGGTCACCTGCGCCAAAGGCACCACTGTCGGAGGCAGACCTACTGCCATCCATCTATCATCATCATCATTAAACCGTCAACAAATTTTTGACACCTTCTAAAGAGCCATAAGGCCTAAAGTGATGGTATTTTACCAGAAAGTAGCTGGAACGGAGGGCTATTAAAGTTGTTCCAATAAAAGACCTTAAATACCTTGACTTTTATACAGATATATGAAAATATTCAAAGGATTTCTTGATAGATCAAAACTGACTTCTCCTCAAGATTCAGTTGGTCCAGGGTCATTAAATTTGACCAGTAGTTAACTAAGGGCCAACAAAGCTATTCATATAAATGACCTTCATGTCAGGTCACAAGAGTCAGATATATTTAAAATCATTAAATTATTTCTTATGTTCTTAAACATCTAGGGTCATGATGATTGACCACAAGGTAGGTGGGAGGGATGGTAATCAGAGTTGATTAAATACATTATCATGACCTTCATTCAAAGTGGAAGGGGTCAAATATGTGCAATCTTATAAAAGACTTGTTAAGATGCTTTTAAAGACTCAGGGTCATAGTATTTAACCATTGGGTTGTAGCCAGTAGGGATAAAGAGCTATCCTAAGTATTTAAATAACCTCAGCCTTCATCACATGTCATATGGGTTAACTATATCAAAATCTTGAAATGACATCTTCTCAAGCTCAAGAAGACCGGTCAGACAATGATATTTACCAGCAGGTAGATTGGACAGAGGACTATATATTACATGACCAGTAAGTAACTAGGATGGAGCATTATCAGAATTGTAATAATAACTTACCTTGCCTTTCATTCAAGGTCAAACTGATCCAGTATACGAAAATGAGTAAACTTTCTCTAGAAGGCCAAGGATCATGGCGTCTAAACAGTATATAGCTGGTTTAAAGGGCTATCAAAATAACCAAAAAAATGACCTTGACATTCATTGAAGTCATAGGAATAGAATATGTTGGAATCATTACATGACTTCTGAACTTCCGGAAGTCTAAGGTCATGATATTTAATTTGTATGCAGCTGGTTATCAAAGTTAATTGCCTTAATTCTTATTCAAGGTCTCATGGGGTAAAATGTGATCAAAATTTTCAATAATTTTAAAAAGTTTTAATTTTGAAAAAAATAACTTAAGTTAAAAATGTCATAGGAGAATGATATTTGATCAGTGGTTAGCTTAGATGGAGGGTTATAAAAGTTGTTCCAAAATTGACTTTGACCTTATTTCAAAGTCAAATAGGTTGGATATTGAAATCCAGATAGAGAATGATAAGCCCAGGCTAATGATGAGGATATTTAACTTGTAAGTGGTTAGGATAGAAACTATCAGTGTCTATATATTACCTTGTTACTTATTCAATATCTGCAAGGTCATAGACTTTCAAATCTGTTAAAAACCTCCAAATCACATTATCTAAAACTAATTCCCATGATCGTGAGCAGCATTTTATGAAGATAAGCAATATGCATCTTTTTCACATATATTGTGTGACTGTGTACAGTTAAAAAGGTTGAATGGGAGAGCTGGCTGGGTCAAGGATCAGGTTGGAGTTGATGTTGAAATCTTTCCATCACTACTTACTCTATTCCTACTATCATTTATTATCCCTGGAATAAGGAAATCATATTTCGTTTATAAAATGGCTGTTTCCTTCCAGGGGGCAGAGTCAGGGTTCTTAACAGAGCACTTTGATTGTTTTGACACATGACTACTTCTCAAGATTTGTTTGATAAATTAAAACTCAATTTTATGATTGATATCACTGACATTAAGGAATGATAAAACATATATTGTAAAAGTAAGAACCATTTCCCGACCCTAAGAATTTGTCTTGAACCCTAGAAAGGTACTTTGCCTCTTCTCTCCGCATCAGGTGTCTACAATGAAAAATAATTGTATAACAACTCGGTAAACATCAAAGTCCTTCAGCCTCCAGTCAATTCATATAGACTGGACAAAACCAACTTGGACAAGTGAAACTTAATATTTTTTCAATCCATGATCATTCTTCAGCTTCAAGAACTTCGGGGCAACATCCGAGTGTTCTGTAGGGCGAGGAAGGATGACCGTGTAGACAACTGTCTCAAGTTTCCGTCCGACCAGGATATCGTGGCCCTACATCCTCAGCAGGGCAAGAAGATGTTCACCTTTGACCGAGTGTTCGGAGTGGATTCAACACAGGAACAGGTCTGTCTCGGGGGGGATCACTCTAATTTGTGTCATGGGGTTTGGAATTTAGAAATAGATTTATTCATCAAGAACACATTCAAGTTTGCTTAAAACACTAAAGAGAAATGTTATAAAAAATAGCTCTTAATTTAAAAGTTAGTATGAAAACTTAACTTTATAACATGCTATGTAAATTTTCAAATTAAGAAATACTTGGAAGAGACATTATGTAAAACTAAATTGTCATTGTTACTAAATTTGTTCTAACCTGCATATTTCTGTTATTTTCAGGTGTTCGCTGACACCAAACCAATCGTATCGTCTTGTGTGGATGGTTATAATGTCTGTCTGATGGCCTATGGTCAGACTGGATCTGGCAAGACATTCACCATGATGGGTCCTGAAAACAATCCTGGTATCAACAACAGGTAGTGTTATGACCTTGATATAAACAACAGGTAGTGTTATGACCTTGATATTACAACAGGTAGTGTTATAACCTTGATATAAACAACAGGTAGTGGTATAACCTTGATAAAAACAACAGGTAGTGTTATGACCTTGATATAAACAACAGGTAGTGTAACCTTCATGTTGTGTTACATGTGTTACATGTCAGTTTAAACAGAGTGTTTTATACACAGTGTTTGGTGTTTGACAGTGACAAATAGTACTTATTACTGATTATTGAATAAAATAGCTTAATTCTAAGCGTGCTATCCATGATGTTTGAACATTTGTAGGGCCATCAGGGAGCTGTTCCAAGTGTGTATGGATAGGAAAGAGACTCAGACCTATGTCATGAAGGTAAGTCACCAAAGTTGTGTAAAGATGTATATATGAGGCTGTGTAAGTGGTTGTGTAAAGATGTATATATGAGGCTGTGTAAGTAGTTGTGTAAAGATGTATATATGAGGCTGTGTAAGTGGTTGTGTTAAGATGTATAAATGGAGGGAATTTTAACCAATTTTGGTCAAGAGAACCTGCAGACAAAGACAATTAAATTTTGGTTAGTCTGGTAAGTATGTTGTCTCCCTGGGAACCTCTGGTAAGTCTGTTGTCTCTTGGGCATCTCTTGTTATTCTGGTTAAATTGTCGACGCCCTTGCACCTCAGGTTAATCTGTGGTCTCCATGGTTTACCACAGGTTAGTTTTCTGTCTCCCATCTGGGCACCTCAGATGAGTGTTTTCTTCCTCAGCACCCTAAGTTCATCTTTTGTATTCATGGCTAGCACTGGTTAGTCTGGTAAGTCTGTTAACTCCTGGGTACTTCTGGTTAGTCTGGTTAGTCTGTTGTCTCCTGGGTACTTCTGGTTAGTCTGTTGTCTCCTGGGCACTTCTGGTTAGTCTGTTGTCTCCTGGGTACCACTGGTCAGTCTGGTAAGTCTGTTGTCTCCTGGGCACTACTGGTTAGTCTGTTGTCTCCTGGGCACTTCTGGTTAGTCTGGTAAGTCTGTTGTCTCCCTGGGCACTTCTGGTTAGGCTTGTTTGTCAGTTGTCTCCTGGGCACCCCTGGGTCGGCTGGTTAGTCTGTTGTCTCTCTGGGCTCTTCTGGTTAGTCAGTTGTCTCCTGGGCACTTCTGGTCTTGTTTGTCTGTTGTCTCCTGGGCACTACTGGTTAGTCTGGTTAGTCTGTTGTCTCTCTGGGCACTTCTGGTTAGTCAGTTGTCTCCTGGGCACCACTGGTCAGTCTGGTAAGTCTGTTGTCTCCTGGGCCCCACTGGTTAGTCTGGTTATTCTGTTGTCTCTGGGCACTTCTGGTTTGTCAGTTGTCTCCTGGGCACTACTGGTTAGTCTGGTAAGTCTGTTGTCTCCTGGGCACCACTGGTTAGTCTGGTTAGTCTGTTGTCTCCTGGGCACTTCTGGTCTGGTTTGTCTGTTGACTCCTGGGCACCACTGGTTAGTCTGGTAAGTCTGTTGTCTCCTGGGCACCTCTGGTTAGTCTGGTTAGTCTGATGTCTCCTGGACACTTCGGTTAGTCTGATTAGTCTGTTGTCTCCCTGGGCACTTCTGGTTTGTCAGTTGTCTCCTGGGCACTACTGGTTAGTCTGGTAAGTCTGTTGTCTCCTGGGCACCTCTGGTTAGTCTGGTTAGTCTGTTGTCTCCTGGGCACCACTGGTTAGTCTGGTTAGTCTGTTGTCTCCTGGGCACCTCTGGTTAGTCTGGTTAGTCTTGTTAGTCCGTTGTCTCTTGGGCACCTCTGGTTAGTCTGGTTAATCTGTTGTCTCCTGGGCACCTCTGGTTAGTCTGGTTAGTCTGTTGTCTCTCTGGGCACTTCTGGTTTGTCAGTTGTCTCCTGGGCACCACTGGTTAGTCTGGTAAGTCTGTTGTCTCCTGGGCACTACTGGTTAGTCTGGTAAGTCTGTTGTCTCCTGGGCACTTCTGGTTAGTCTGGTAAGTCTGTTGTCTCCTGGGCACCTCTGGTTAGTCTGGTTAGTCTGGTTAGTCTGTTGTCTCCTTTTGGACCTCTTGTTAGTCTGTTGTCTCCTGGGCACTTCTGGTCTGTTTTGTCTGTTGACTCCTGGGCACCACTGGTTAGTCTGGTAAGTCTGTTATCTCCTGGGTTCGTCTGGTAAGTCTGTTGTCTCCTGGGCACCACTGGTTAGTCTGGTAAGTCTTTTGTCTCCTTGGTTCGTCTGGTAAGTCTGTTGTCTCCTGGGTTCTTCTGGTTAGTCTGTTGTCTCCTTGGCACTACTGGTTAGTCTGGGAAGTCTGTTGTCTCTCTGGGCCTTTCTGGCTAGTCTGTTGTCTCCTGGGTACTTCTGGTTAGTCAGTTGTCTTCTGGGCACTTCTGGTCTGTTTTGTCTGTTGACTCCTGGGCACCTCTGGTTAGTCTATTGTCTCCCTGGCCACCTCTGGTTAGTCTGGTAAGTCTTTTGTCTCCTTGGTTCGTCTGGTAAGTCTGTTGTCTCTCTGGGCACTTCTGGTTAGTCAGTTGTCTCCTGGGTACTTCTGGGTAGTCAGGTGTCTCCTGGGCACCACTGGTTAGTCTGTTAAGTCTGTTATCTCCTGGGTTCGTCTGGTAAGTCTGTTGTCTCCTCGGCTCTTCTGGTTAGTCTGGTTAGTCACTTGTCTCCTGGGCTCTTCTGGTTAGTCTGTTGTCTCTTGGGCCCCTCTGGTTAGTCTTGTTAGGCTGTTGTCTCTTGGGCACCTCTGGGTAGTATTGCTAGTCTGTTGTCTCTTGGGCACCTCTGGTTAGTCTTGTTAGTCCGTTGCCTCTTGGGCCCCTCTGGTTAGTCTTGTTAGGCTGTTGTCTCTTGGGCACCTCTGGGTAGTATTGCTAGTCTGTTGTCTCTTGGGCCCCTCTGGTTAGTCTTGTTAGGCTGTTGTCTCTTGGGCACCTCTTGTTAGTCTATTGTCGCCCTGGACACCACTTGTTAGTCTGGGGTAAGTCTGTTGTCTCCTCGGCTCTTCTGGTTAGTCTGGTTAGTCACTTGTCTCCTGGGCTCTTCTGGTTAGTCTGGTTAGTCTGTTGTCTCTTGGGCACCTCTGGTTAGTCTGGTTAGTCTGGTTAGTCTTGTTAGTCCGTTGTCTCTTGGGCACCTCTGGTTAGTCTTGTTAGTCTGTTGTCTCTTGGGCACCTCTGGTTAGTCTATTGTCTCCCTGGACACCACTTGTTAGTCTGGTTAGTCTATTGTCTCCCTGGACACCTCTGGTTAGTCTGGTTAGTCTATTGTCTCCCTGGGGACCTCTGGTTAGTCTGGGTAGGTCTTTTGTCTCTTTGTGGACCTTTGGTTAGTCTGAATATTTTGACTATGGGCGGTCGGTTTATTGTAACCATGTGACTGTGTGGAAGGTTATACTAAATATGGCCCTGTAGCTGCCCCATAGTGTGTCTGTCTGGTAATACCCTGTAGCTGCCCCATAGTGTGTCTGTCTGGTAATACCCTGTAGCTGCCCCATAGTGTGTCTGTCTGGTAATACTCTGTAGCTGCCCCATAGTGTGTCTGTCTGGTAATACCCTGTAGCTGCCCCATAGTGTGTCTGTCTGGTAATACCCTGTAGCTGCCCCATAGTGTGTCTGTCTGGTAATACCCTGTAGCTGCCCCATAGTGTGTCTGTCTGGTAATACCCTGTAGCTGCCCCATAGTGTGTCTGTCTGGTAATACCCTGTAGCTGCCCCATAGTGTGTCTGTCTGGTAATACCCTGTAGCTGCCCCATAGTGTGTCTGTCTGGTAATACCCTGTAGCTGCCCCATAGTGTGTCTGTCTGGTAATACCCTGTAGCTGCCCCATAGTGTGTCTGTCTGGTAATACCCTGTAGCTGCCCCATAGTGTGTCTGTCTGGTAATACCCTGTAGCTGCCCCATAGTGTGTCTGTCTGGTAATACCCTGTAGCTGCCCCATAGTGTGTCTGTCTGGTAATACCCTGTAGCTGCCCCATAGTGTGTCTGTCTGGTAATACCCTGTAGCTGCCCCATAGTGTGTCTGTCTGGTAATACCCTGTAGCTGCCCCATAGTGTGTCTGTCTGGTAATACCCTGTAGCTGCCCCATAGTGTGTCTGTCTGGTAATACCCTGTAGCTGCCCCATAGTGTGTCTGTCTGGTAATACCCTGTAGCTGCCCCATAGTGTGTCTGTCTGGTAATACCCTGTAGCTGCCCCATAGTGTGTCTGTCTGGTAATACCCTGTAGCTGCCCCATAGTGTGTCTGTCTGGTAATACCCTGTAGCTGCCCCATAGTGTGTCTGTCTGGTAATACCCTGTAGCTGCCCCATAGTGTGTCTGTCTGGTAATACCCTGTAGCTGCCCCATAGTGTGTCTGTCTGGTAATACCCTGTAGCTGCCCCATAGTGTGTCTGTCTGGTAATACCCTGTAGCTGCCCCATAGTGTGTCTGTCTGGTAATACCCTGTAGCTGCCCCATAGTGTGTCTGTCTGGTAATACCCTGTAGCTGCCCCATAGTGTGTCTGTCTGGTAATACCCTGTAGCTGCCCCATAGTGTGTCTGTCTGGTAATACCCTGTAGCTGCCCCATAGTGTGTCTGTCTGGTAATACCCTGTAGCTGCCCCATAGTGTGTCTGTCTGGTAATACCCTGTAGCTGCCCCATAGTGTGTCTGTCTGGTAATACCCTGTAGCTGCCCCATAGTGTGTCTGTCTGGTAATACCCTGTAGCTGCCCCATAGTGTGTCTGTCTGGTAATACCCTGTAGCTGCCCCATAGTGTGTCTGTCTGGTAATACCCTGTAGCTGCCCCATAGTGTGTCTGTCTGGTAATACCCTGTAGCTGCCCCATAGTGTGTCTGTCTGGTAATACCCTGTAGCTGCCCCATAGTGTGTCTGTCTGGTAATACCCTGTAGCTGCCCCATAGTGTGTCTGTCTGGTAATACCCTGTAGCTGCCCCATAGTGTGTCTGTCTGGTAATACCCTGTAGCTGCCCCATAGTGTGTCTGTCTGGTAATACCCTGTAGCTGCCCCATAGTGTGTCTGTCTGGTAATACCCTGTAGCTGCCCCATAGTGTGTCTGTCTGGTAATACCCTGTAGCTGCCCCATAGTGTGTCTGTCTGGTAATACCCTGTAGCTGCCCCATAGTGTGTCTGTCTGGTAATACCCTGTAGCTGCCCCATAGTGTGTCTGTCTGGTAATACCCTGTAGCTGCCCCATAGTGTGTCTGTCTGGTAATACCCTGTAGCTGCCCCATAGTGTGTCTGTCTGGTAATACCCTGTAGCTGCCCCATAGTGTGTCTGTCTGGTAATACCCTGTAGCTGCCCCATAGTGTGTCTGTCTGGTAATACCCTGTAGCTGCCCCATAGTGTGTCTGTCTGGTAATACCCTGTAGCTGCCCCATAGTGTGTCTGTCTGGTAATACCCTGTAGCTGCCCCATAGTGTGTCTGTCTGGTAATACCCTGTAGCTGCCCCATAGTGTGTCTGTCTGGTAATACCCTGTAGCTGCCCCATAGTGTGTCTGTCTGGTAATACCCTGTAGCTGCCCCATAGTGTGTCTGTCTGGTAATACCCTGTAGCTGCCCCATAGTGTGTCTGTCTGGTAATACCCTGTAGCTGCCCCATAGTGTGTCTGTCTGGTAATACCCTGTAGCTGCCCCATAGTGTGTCTGTCTGGTAATACCCTGTAGCTGCCCCATAGTGTGTCTGTCTGGTAATACCCTGTAGCTGCCCCATAGTGTGTCTGTCTGGTAATACCCTGTAGCTGCCCCATAGTGTGTCTGTCTGGTAATACCCTGTAGCTGCCCCATAGTGTGTCTGTCTGGTAATACCCTGTAGCTGCCCCATAGTGTGTCTGTCTGGTAATACCCTGTAGCTGCCCCATAGTGTGTCTGTCTGGTAATACCCTGTAGCTGCCCCATAGTGTGTCTGTCTGGTAATACCCTGTAGCTGCCCCATAGTGTGTCTGTCTGGTAATACCCTGTAGCTGCCCCATAGTGTCTGTCTGGTAATACCCTGTAGCTGTCCCATAGTGTGTCTGTCTGGTAAAACTCTGTAGCTGCCCCATAGTGTGTCTGTCTGGTAATACCCTGTAGCTGCCCCATAGTGTGTCTGTCTGGTAATACCCTGTAGCTGCCCCATAGTGTGTCTGTCTGGTAATACTCTGTAGCTGCCCCATAGTGTGTCTGTCTGGTAATACTCTGTAGCTGCCCCATAGTGTGTCTGTCTGGTAATACCCTGTAGCTGCCCCATAGTGTGTCTGTCTGGTAATACCCTGTAGCTGCCCCATAGTGTGTCTGTCTGGTAATACCCTGTAGCTGCCCCATAGTGTGTCTGTCTGGTAATACCCTGTAGCTGCCCCATAGTGTGTCTGTCTGGTAATACCCTGTAGCTGCCCCATAGTGTGTCTGTCTGGTAATACCCTGTAGCTGCCCCATAGTGTGTCTGTCTGGTAATACCCTGTAGCTGCCCCATAGTGTGTCTGTCTGGTAATACCCTGTAGCTGCCCCATAGTGTGTCTGTCTGGTAATACCCTGTAGCTGCCCCATAGTGTGTCTGTCTGGTAATACCCTGTAGCTGCCCCATAGTGTGTCTGTCTGGTAATACCCTGTAGCTGCCCCATAGTGTGTCTGTCTGGTAATACCCTGTAGCTGCCCCATAGTGTGTCTGTCTGGTAATACCCTGTAGCTGCCCCATAGTGTGTCTGTCTGGTAATACCCTGTAGCTGCCCCATAGTGTGTCTGTCTGGTAATACTCTGTAGCTGCCCCATAGTGTGTCTGTCTGGTAATACCCTGTAGCTGCCCCATAGTGTGTCTGTCTGGTAATACCCTGTAGCTGCCCCGTAGTGTGTCTGTCTGGTAATACTCTGTAAGTGCAGGTCCTTGTCTTTGAATCTTAAAACTAAATTAATCATTTGGATATATGACTCGGTGATACATAGTGGGATACATGTTTCGATGTGCCCAATTTATTAAGGTCAATGACACTTACTAAAACTAGATAATTGTGGGGCCTTGCTGACCTCTCAGGGTTCTAGTTTATCCAGGATACTAGTATGACATTTCAGTGAGATATTGTCAACTGGATCCATTTTGATCAGTGGACAACATTGTCATATGACCTTAGCTTGTTATAAATGTTCCTTTTAATAATATTTACCATAGTTTTAGTATCATGCAATTATATTGTAGGTTGGACTGATTGAGATCTATAATGAGACCGTGGTCGACCTCCTGTCAGATGATGCCAAGGTGATAGATCTTAAAACTATAGGGAACAAAGTCAGTCTGCCTGGCCTCATAGAAATCGAAATCAAGACGCCCAATGACATCAAGAGTATCATGAAGAAAGGAGACAAGAACAGATCTGTGGCTTCAACAAAGATGAATTCCACCAGGTATATATTACTTAATGTGATTTTTTTTTTTGTGTTAAAAAACTTAACCCTTTCAGCACTGTAGACCATCATGGACTCATCCAAATGAATGTGCGGTAGAGTCTACTCAAGTTACCTAGGGGTGAAAGGGTTAAGGATGAGCTTTTGCCATGGTACAGCATCCGTCCTTCATACGTCTGTCTGTTCCCTGTCAGGCATTAACTTTTCAAAAGTCTATCAGCCCAGATCAGCTTAAGGGATTTTGACTCTAGCCTTTCCTAGGGCAAAGCAGTTTAATGTTATATAAATGAAAGGTATTGATCCACTGGGGGCAGGGAGATCAGACCCCATAGGGGAGAATCATTCAAAGAATACTTCTTATAAGTTTGAATGACGGGATTCAAACCTATAGAACATCCAAGGGCCAAGTGAGTTCAAGGTTAACCATTCCAAGTTGTAGAAGAGAAGGGTGTAAACCCTGGGGGCAAAAGGATGGAGCTCAGTAAGGGGGCTTATACAGGTCAATCTTTAAAAGACTACAACTTTTGTTTGAATTGAGGGATTTAAACCTTATATGGTAAGAGATTTCTTTGGCAAAGGGATTTCAATGTACTGCTAATGAAGCACATAGTCCTTCTGGGATGGAAGGGTGGGGATCCTTGATGAAATAAGGGTGAATCTGTTGTTAAAGACTGCTCATTCCTGGGAATCAGATAGTGTATAGATTCCTGGGAATCAGATAGTGTATAGATTCCTGGGAATCAGATAGTGTATAGATGAATGTTGATGTACTCTTAGAGGTAGGGGGACTTTTGGGCCAAGCGTGGAAACGTTACATGACACACTGATTTTATGATATAACATCATAAGATCATATTTTCTCTATCAATTTCTACACCTGTCAATGTCATCAGTCAAGGTCAGTGGGTCAAAGATCAAACTTGACCACTTTTAGTGAATTGTAAAACTTGTGTACAAGATATCTCAAAAGCCCTTAACTGATTTGATTTATATGTACACTATAGTATATGATACCATTGATTTCTTACCTGATTAGATATTGGTGGTCATCGGTCAAGGTTAACAGGTCAAAGTTCAAACTTAACCTCTTTTTTAAAGTGAAAATCTGGTGTACATGCATGTTAACAGCACACCCCTCAACAGATTTAGCTTTTAACGCTGAACATTTTTCGAGGGATTTAGCTTGAGATGTTTGCTCTGTCAGTATTTATGTTTGGATCAGTTTTACTTTTGAAGTAAGATTTTATGATGAAATAGCCTAATTAACACCCTCTAAACATCTTAAAAGAGTCAAAGTCATACATGGGTCTGGTCACCGACCTCAGAACAAGAGAAAGCATAAATCTCAAAAATTGTTTGTTGGTTGCTCGAAGGAAGAAGATTTCTATCAATTTTAGGCATGATTTGTCGTAGGTCGAATGTCATTGTTACTAGATATAGGATTTCTTGTACAGATCCTAACTTCAGGACAAATAATCAAAGTTCAGACTTGACATGCGAGTACCTCTAGGGTACTTATTGGAAGAACTTAAAATCTAGGTTTGTGCTTTGCCCAGAATGAAAGAAAGAATCTAAATCATTACAGGCATGGCTAATTAGAGGTCAAGGTCAATATTTCTAAAACATTGTCTGGAACCTAACTCTGTGATTATGATTTTCTGCTTTAATGCAACAGCAAAATTTCATAAGCACAGCCCCTTCCTACTGTAAGTCAGATACATGCTAGTGTCAACAAACGTTGCTCCAGTTGGGGTGGGGTGGGGTTTTTTTTGGGGCGGGNAAAAGTATAGTTAGCTCTACTCAGGATTAGTTTTGGTAATTAATATTAGTGGTCTCCAGTCAAGGTTAAAAGGTCAAAGATCATGCTAGACCAAATTTGATATTCTGATGAAGGTTGGGAGGTATGTCTATGTGACCCCCCCAATTATTTATTTTTTATGTTGCCAGTTTAAAATCTTGTTATCTTGATATTGCAGTTCACGATCACATCTACTTCTACTTCTGAAAGTGGAAGGTCAAGACAAGGTGACAGGATCAATGACCAAGGGGACGTTGACCCTGTGTGATTTGGCAGGGTCAGAAAGGATATCCAAAACTGAGGCAGAGGGTCAACGTCTTGTGGAAGCAGCTGCGATCAACAAGTCCCTCTCAGCTCTAGGACAGGTAAGATAATGTAATCAGAGTCCCTCTCAGCTCTGGGACAGGTAAGATGATGTAATTAAAGTCCCTCTCAACTCTGGGACAGGTAAGATGATGTAATCAGAGTCCTTCTCAGTTCTTGGACAGGTAAGATAATGTTATCAGAGTCCCTCTCAGCTCTGGGACAGGTAAGATAATGTAATCAGAGTCCCTCTCAGTTCTTGGACAGGTGGGGAAAAGTAATCAGTCCCTCTCAGCTCTGGGACAGGTAAGATAATGTAAATAGAGTCCCTCTCAGCTCTGAGACAGGTGAGATAATGTAATCAGAGTCCCTCTCAGCTCTGGGACAGGTAAGATAATGAAATCAGAGTCCCTCTCAGCTCTGGGACAGGTAAGATAATGTAATCAGAGTCCATCTCTCAGCTCTTGGACAGGTAAGATGATGTAATCAGAGTCCCTCTCAGCTCTGGGACGGGTAAGATGATGTAATCAGAGGCCCTCTCAGCTCTGGGACAGGAAAGATGATGTAATCAGAGTCCCCCTCAGCTCTGGGACAGGTAAGATAATGTAATCAGAGTCCCTCTCAGCTCTGGGACAGGTAAGATGATGTAATCAGAACCAAGCTCTAATGTACTGCTACATTTCCTCATGCAGCATATATTGACTCTTCCAGATTGTTTTAATCTGTTTGTTGATAATAACTAGTTGTAATAATCTGTTTGTTGACATTTCCTGGTTGTTATAATATTTTTGTTTACATTGGGATGAAGGGTTATACACTTAGTTAAATTTAATGACTTTGACTAACTTCAAAGGTCACACAGGTCAAATTTATTCAAAATCTTCAATCCACTTTTTCTGAATAATCAAGAAAGCAAAGGCCTATTGTTTGACTAGGGTGATTTTGTACATCTTTGGTGGTAACTGGTACTTGTTTCATCAAACTTGTGTATAATGCTTTCTAGCTAACAGATCTAAGTGTGAAGTGATTGATGGGGCTTCTGTTTGGTGGTGATGGGGATACATACATGTTCACCTGTCAGTGTCCTAGTTTCACACTTGGAGGGTAATGTGCTTGGTGGAAACTCCACCCTACAGAAGTATGTATCTATGTCTGTCGATGTTGTTTTATATATTGAATGTTGACACGTTGTCTTGATAGGTTTTCCAAGCTTTGCGGACCAGCCAGCTTCATATACCGTACAGGAACTCGAAGCTTACTCAGATCTTACAGCCTTCCTTGGGCGGGGATGCAAAGGTAGGCTGTCAGCTATTGTAATTATCATATGTCCCCAACATTGCCATGTGTCTTTATTTCTTTGACAGATGTCGATTTTTGTGACAGACGAAAGTAGAAATGTATTTTTTTTCTTTTTATATTGTCCGACAGACATATTTTTGGGGGCATTTTGCCTAAACAAAGTCATCAATTATATAAACAAGGATTCAGAAAGATATTAGTTTTATAAGTATATTCTCGATTGATACAGAAAATTTTAATCGTTACCGATTGCCAAAATTGATACAGAATACCATGATTGATAAAGATTATCATGGTTGATGCAGATTACCATGATTGATACAGAATATCATGATTGATAAAGATATATATTGATTGATAAAGACTGTTTACTTTGGTTTACTTTCAGGCATGTCTGTTCGTGAATGTGAGTCCAGATATGAATAACTCCAGTGAAACTGTAAGCACCCTGACCTTTGGTGCCAATGCCAAGCAAGTGGCTCTGGGACAGGCGAAACAGAACATCAAGAAAGGACTAGGATCTTGATGATTAGCTGCAGCAGGACTGAAGAGAACACTATCTCCTCTGCTTAGCTTCATCTTTGATTGTTAATTGGCCAATCAAGGATTCTGGATATCTCCTACTCATTATGTTGATTTATCTCTGCCCTTGATAGCACAAACCAACCAATCAAGAACACTGGATGTTTCCTTCTGAATTCCTTGCTTCAACTCCGCCCCTCAAAGCAAATCCACCAATCGAGGACTGTGAATGTCTTCTACTCATCTCCTCGCTTCAACTCCACCCCTCATAGCAAATCCACCAATCGAGGACTGTGAATGGCTTCTACTCATCTCCTTGCTTCAACTCCGCCCCTCATAGCAAATCCACCAATTGAGGACTGTGAATGTCTACCAGACTGAAGAAAAAATCTGTATCTTGATCAACCATTTCACTGTATTTGTTCTTGCAATACGTTTATAATAATCAGTATTTTACTTTTCTATCAGAATCGAGTATTTTTTTTAAATTACTCCAAATTTCTTTTTTTTTTTTATATAATGTTGACCTGTAACTTGTAATAAGTAAATGACCTTGGGTGATCTCAAGGTTATATAAATTATTTATTTGACCTTGACCTGTAACTTATAATAAATAAGTGACCTTAGGTAATCCATAGATTAATTATATTTTTATATGACCCTGACCTGTATCTCCAGATTCATGGTTATTGATATTTATTATTTACTTCATTAACAAATGGTGGACACATTTTTGGTTCTGGTTGAAAATGGTAATCTTGCTTACCATATTCCTTGTGAAATATGTTAAAATTAATATTAGCAATGTTTAATGAGAGTTGTGACAGACTTCAGACAGTCAGATATCTACCTCTGTTGAACCACATATAAGTTTTGGCTCAGCCGAAAGCTCAAAAAGCTTACACAATTTATAATTATACTTTTAGCTCACCTGGCCCTGAAGACTGATGTAAACACACTATTTTTGAGGTTGATAAAACCATTTATCAGCCAGATGTAAAAGGCTTTATATGATTGTTTCCTTATTTTTGGTTTCGATTTTAGCCAACCATCATCAAATTGCAGGCTGTGTAAGTAATTTTTGTCTGCTATTTGCAGTCCGTCTTTAACCCTTTCACCACTGTAGACCATAATGGACTCATCCAGATCAATGCACGGTAGAGGCTACTAAAGTTACATAGGGGTGAAAGGGTTGAAAATGTTTGTTACTCCTCCTTTGTAAAATGTCCCAGATAAGTCATTCTCAAAGATCCAATGTAAGTGAAAAGCATATGTTTCATTTTGAGACTGATCAGAAGAAGATTTCCACCAGGAACCCATCTTGGAATTTGAAAGCTGACGCTTGTTACATAACGTATTGCTATTTATCAAGAAGACTTTGATACTTGATCTCAATTAACTTTGAATATGATCAGAATGACCAGAAAGAAGGTACTTTGACAATCAAAGTTGTTAACAATTCTACGACGGTAGTTCAGGTCTTTAAATAAAATTAACATTTACAAGTTCCGCTTGGTCATAAGTTGTGCACATTCAATTTTGGAACTCGTGATCACAAGGTGGCCACAAGGTTGCAATTTTAGAATCGACAGATCTAGAGTTTGTTGAAGTGTCAGTTTTGTCCCGGAGGGATCTTTAAAATTACCTATCAAGACATCTCTTTATATTTTCCCCTTGATTGAAAAAGTGATGCATGGCATCTTGATTTTGATTGTTGTCACAATTTTTAGAGAGCAGATATTACTCAAATATCAGTAGTAGGTTGTTGCCTTTCTCTAGTTTTGCATATTGAATTTTGAGCTTCAAGCTGTTGAAATCAGACATCTTTCTAGGTCTATTTTTTATTGGTTTCACTATAGTTTAGTAATGACAACCTCACTTTGATGGACAAGGTCACACACAGTAGTACGATGTTTTGATCACAAGATGCATGTTCTGTTGGCATGATGATCAATCTAAAAGATAAGATAAAAGAATAGATAAGATAATCTACATGGAACTCTAATGATCTTGCTAAGGTGGGCACCAAGTTCCCTACTGGATCTGGTCTTTACCTCTTGGAAGGTAATTTAACTTAAAAAGTTTGAAATTCTTTTCTATAAGTATAAGTTTGTATAAAATATAAAGAATTGTGTACTGAAGTTCCCAATGCACAGACTTGAAGGTATTTTTTAGTCTACATTGATAATTTTCCTGAAAATGATGGGCACCTCTGTACTGGAACATGTACTTTTCCAAAGACTTTTACATTTGGTGTATACATGAACAGTCACTGAACTGTGACAATATTTCATGGATTGTGCAATAGTTTGTATAGCCAACAGCTGGCTGGGTCAATGACATTATCGGGTATATATTCTTGATAATATGCTACATGCATTATAATTATGCAATGGAATTGATAATTCAACTTGTGTTTTGTTTGGAGTGATCTTTATTTATTTTAATTATTCATATTATGAAAATATTTAGTTTAGATATTGTTATAATGTAAGAAAAGCCCTTCAGTTGAAGAAATGATAATTCTTGTTAGTAACTTTCTGGACACATACAAGAGGTCATCTTTCTGTGGCTTTTGAGGCCGTGGCTGTCATATATGTTGGTGGCCTTTGAGAATTCATGTTGGTGACCTTTTGGAGGTCATATGTTGGTGAGATTTGAGAAGTGATGTGCCTGACCTTTGAGAAGTCATATATATACAAAAAATATTTTACAACAATTACGAACATCAACTTCGTCAATCACTCTTGTTGGCCCAGATGTTAGTGCGCAGGGGGTCTTAATGTGGGAGGAAACCAGAGTACCCAGAGAAACCCCACATGGTCAGGCAGGGGACCCCATACCTTTTCACATTTGATCGGAGAATAAAACCCAGTCGCTTTGGTAAAAGGCAAATGCGTTATCCACTGCACCATCCGACCACCCAGTCATGTCATTGACCTTTGGGTAGTCATGTCATTGACCTTTGGGTAGTCATGTCAGTGACCTTTTGGGTAGTCATGTCATTGACCTTTGGGTAGTCATGTCGGTGACCTTTGGGTAGTCATGTCAGTGACCTTTGGGTAGTCATGTCGGTGACCTTTGGGTAGCAATGTCATTGACCTTTGGGTAGTCATGTCGGTGACCTTTGAGTAGTCATGTCATTGACCTTTGGGTAGTCATGTCATTGACCTTTGGGTAGTCATGTCGATGTCCTTTGGGTAATCATGTCGATGTCCTTTGAGAAGTCATGTCTGTGACCTTTGAGAAGTCATGTCTGTGACTTTTGAGTAGTCATGTCGGTGACTTTTGCGTAGTCATGTCATTGACCTTTGAGAAGTCATGTCGGTGACCTTTGAGTAGTCATGTCGGTGACCTTTGAGTAGTCATGTCTGACCTTTGAGAAGTCATGTCGGTGACCTTTGAGTAGTCATGTCGGTGACCTTTGAGTAGTCATGCGGTGAACTTTGAGAAGTCATGTCGGTGTACTTGAGTAGTCATGTCGGTGACCTTTGGGTAGTCATGTCGGTGACCTTTGAGATGTCATGTCGGTGACCTTTGAGTAGTCATGTCGGTGACCTTTGAGTAGTCATGTCGGTGACCTTTGAGTAGTCATGTCGGTGACTTTTGGGTAGTCATGTTGATGACCTTTGAGAAGTCATGAATTACTTATGTAAATGTATTCCCTTTTTTTGTCTATTGTCTTAATTGAACATGTTTTTATTTTAATTTCTATGAAATGCAAAAACTGTAAATAATTGAGAATGACTTTAAATAGTGATTCAGCTGTGATAATTTAAAGTGTGATACTCCTTGCAGTGGAAACTAGTAGTGGTGATACTGTTGATCTGTGATACAAATTTATTTTTTATAAAGTATTATATGTTATAATGGTGTTTTTAGTATATTTATAATTCTGGACTAAATTGATCACCACATTTTTACAAATCTGAATTGATCTGTGTATTTATTAATCTTGACTGATTTGATCTGTGTATTTATTAATTTATTTATAAATCAGGGCTCAATTGATCTGTGTGTTTATAAATCTTGACTGAATTGATATGTGTATTTATAAAACTTGACTGAATTGATATGTGTATTTATAAAACTTGACTGAATTGATCTGTGTATTTATGAATGTGTACTTTCAATTGTTCTGTATATTTATAAATCAGGGCTGAATTGAGACGTCAGTTTTAAACACATAGTTGCTTGTGTTCTTTTTAGATGATACCTTCAATTAGTCGTATCATCTACTATGTCTGCACAGTTGCTATTACTCCAATTAATAGTTGGTACAATGTTGTAATTTACACCAAAACGGCATGGGGCTTATTTTGCCTTTTTTTCCATCTTCCATTTATAAATCTCTAGAACAAGTTTGGTTAAAATCCCTTCAACGGTACAGAAGGAGAACGATCTTTAATGTTTTCCTCTATTTCCCCTAATGGGCCCCACTCATCTGCCCCAAAGAAGGGGGTCCACACACCTCAGTTTAAACAAAATTGATTCTTTTGTCTTTAAGCATGCTTCAGACTGAATTTGGTTTAAATCCCTTCACTTGTTTAGTAGGAGAAAAAAAATCCTCTTTTTCCCCCCTATTGGGCCCCGCCCCTATGCCCCCAGAGGGGCCACACCCTCCATTTGTACAAACTTGAGACTCCTTTGTCCAAAGATGCTGTAGAACAAATTTGGTCAAAATCCTTCTATTGGTTGAGAGGAAGAAGATTTTTAAAGAGTTACCTATTTTCCCCCGCCCCCCATCTGCCCCCAGGGGGACCATACCCCTGTTTATACAAAACTGAGAACCCTTTGGTCAATGATGCTCCAGACCAAATTTGGTCAAAATCCTCTGAGCCGTTCAGGACTAGTAGCGTTTAAAAGGGAAAAGTTGACGGACGACGGACCATGGGCTAAGCTCACTTGGCCCTTTGGGCCAGGTGAGCTAATAAACCACGAATTGATCATATATTCGGAGCAACGATAGAATGTATTGTGTAATTACAACCCACTCTATGCATTTGATCTTAAAATGTATTATTTTATAGAGAACCCTGTTGGTATTCATTTTGCAGGATCCCTGTACCATTGTCAAAAACGGACAATTTTTCTTGCTCGACATGAGAGGGTCATTTCTGAAAATAAATCCATGTCAGATCTGGAGTTACACAAAATAAATCAAGTACTTATGAAAAATATTAAAGAAAAAAAGTAGATTTCTAGAATCTTGGTCGAAATTAAAAAAAGCTTATTCTGATTATGACAATTGATGTCGCCGATATTTTATTTCAAGGGAATTGTCTTGCTGATTTTTTTTTTTTATATATCAACAGCAGTATTCCAAGTGTAAAAATCCAACATGCCCAACAAGAACTTGAACTCCGGTCTCTCTAAACAACCGAGCTACATTGATTACAAGATGTTTGCCGTGTTAATTCATATAATTTACTTGAGACAGATGATTTAACTAAAGAATGATTGAATCATATATATATCCCATCTTTGTGTCAAACTAATTCTTCCAATAAATACATGTTTTTGAGAGCCTTACAATTCGTATTGTAAATCTACGAGTAGCCTAATTTCAAAACTTTGATAACTCATCGTATATTATCAGCCATGGACTCGTAGTCAGAATTAGTGATGAACAGTTTGAAATCATAATCGGGTAATTACAGTAAATTGTCTCATTGCAGTGGGACAGGGATCCTTCGCTTGGGTTCAGCCACAGGGATGGTTTGTGCTTTAGACACGCCACTGCTCCCAAAATATGACACTTCATGTAAAAATAAATTTTTGTTGCATAATTATTTGCCGTGTTGTTTATTTTAAAAGTATGAAAATGGTGGCCATAGCACTTTGTATGATTCCACCATCAACGATCGCACATACAGGTATTATTCATAGCACCATTCTATGGTGGGGTCTTGTAAACAGCAGTTGCAAATCGGGTACAGGTACTATACCCAACATGCATCATTCTATGGCACAGCCCCTATATAACCCTACCAAGTTTAGAGGAGTCTTTTCAGCAATGAATGCCAAGCCACATGTTGACTTAACCTCAAATTAATTAGTATACCATCATAATAGCTATGCAAACATTTGACCTAAACGTTAAATACTGCCACTGCTGGTCTGCGTGCAACATACACAAGTATACATTGTTCTAGATCTTTTTAAGGTCAACGAGAGGAAAATATAGTTCTCAATCTCTGCTACCTACTGGCTAAATTTTCAAGTAGCTGTTCAAAAACATTTAGTTGGACAGCAATAGATGCTTTTACAATACCATAAGCTCCGTCAGTGAGTTGACAATCACAACATCTTATTTTAGTGCACAAAGTTTGTATGTTCAGAGTAAAAATAATCCATTAAACTGCATACAGCAAATTTCTTCCCATCCCCCTGAATTGCATTTTTAGCTCACCTGGCACGAAGTTTGCTTATGCCGTGGTGCGGCGTCCGTCGTCCCTCCGTCCGGCATCCGGCGTCAATATTTTACTTTAAACAACTTCTTCTTAATAACCGAAAGGCCTTGGGTGTCGATATTTGGCCAGAAGCAAACTTGGATGAAGGGCTACAAAGTTTGTTAAAATTAATGACCTTCACCTATTTTCAAGGTCACAGGGGTCAAATATGTCAAAAACTTTAAACATCTTCTTCTCAATAACCAAAATGCCCAGGGGGTTGATACTTGGCCAGTAGCATGTTTGGGTGAAGGGCTACCAAGTTTGTTCAAATGAATGACCTTCAATTATATTCAAGGTCACAGGGGTCAATTGTATTAACAAGAGGCCCATGGGCCTTAACGGTCACCTGATATATTTATACAGAGACTTGATTTTTAGCTCACCTGGCCCGAAGGGCCTAGTGAGCTTATCCCATGGTGCAGCGTCCGTCATCCGGCGTCCGTCAACTTTTCCTTTAAAATGCTACTTGTCCTGAATGGCTCAGAGGATTTTGACCAAATTTGGTCAGGAGCATCATTGGCCAAAGGGTTCTCAGTTTTGTATAAACGGAGGGTATAACCCCCCTGGGGGCAGAGGGGCGGGGCCAAATAGGGGGAAAATAGGTAAATCTTTAAAAATCTTCTTCTTCTCAACCAATAGAAG